TCCTCTTTCCATTTAGAGTGTCCACATCAGCAAAAACATTAAACTATATTTTAAAATATTTATGAAATGACTATTCATATTTCTTTACATTTATTCATATTTTAAATATAAATAAAAGTAAGAAAAATACAAAAATAAATATATTAATTAATATATAATATGTGATAACTTGATGTTAAAAGTTATAATAAATTTGGAATATAAAATGGAGATGGAGTAGAAAATATATTTAACTTGAAATAATATATATTTACCTTTTTATTCAAAGGATTTATCCTATTTAAAAATGTTATAATGTGTTTACAAGTTAAAACTTGAATATAAATTAATTTAGATAATAGAAAACTAATGAAAAATTAGAGTTAGAGTTTGTTTTTTAAAACAAATAGAAGTCGAGTTTTTATAGGTAAATTTAATTGCAGAGAAAAACATGAAACTTTTAAGGATTGTGATATGTTTGTTTCAAAAATATAATTTATATTTACAAAACTAACATAATAGAAAATAATCATTGGTCATGAGGCTCACATTCTACCACAGCAAAGTAGATAAAAAGTATACATATTATCTTTTAATCTTATTTCGGGTGCAAATGCAATTTTACATTATGTTTACAAATTTTTAATGTTGATTGAAATTTATATGCATGTTTATAATCTAATAGAAGTAAACAAACATAATATTTATAACATGCTAAAATTTTAGAAATAGATAACTCGAGATAAAGTGAGATGTTAATATCCTAATAAAAAACAAATTGTTCATATTTTTTAGTCTAAGTTGTTGGGTTAACTCAAAACATAACAAAACATGAAAGTTAACACAAAACCATCACAATTCAAAGTTCAAACGAACAAATTAATATAAATAAAACTAAATAGAAAAATTATCGCAAACAACCCCACGCTTGCGCGGGACTTCAAACTTAGTGTAAATTAATATTATAGATACCTTATAAATATATACTACATAACTAGTGTATCTTACATTTTTATTACCCATTCCTTTATTATTACGTATAATATTTTTTTTTGTTAATTAATTCATAGTTTTATTTTTATGAAGAAAAAGTAATGTAGACAAAAACCAAAAGTTAAATAAGTCACCAATCAAGTTTCCAAAAAACTATTTCTACAGCAAAATGAAAATCTAAAAACCAAAATCTAAAATCTAAAAACTAGCCAAACATTCATAGCCTAAATGTGTGCAATGCTTTTCAATTCTTCGAATCGAAATATTGAATGGAGACTTGGTTGCAATAATACCAACGAGATAAAAATTGTGAAAGATAATGAGTCTTCATATTCATGAAAAGGACAAGAAGACTCGACTAGTCAAAGGAATGATTTGTCATCTTCAACCAAAATCCAAACAAAGGATGACTTAGAGTCTTAGAAAGTCAATTTATTAGTATAAATTAGTGAGAGATTTTAAGAAATACTCCCTCCGTTTCACTTTATACAAGGTGGTTGTCCCGCACCTTGTGCGGTACAATATTTTTTAAATACAATTATTAATTAAAGATTTAAATAATATAAGTAGTACAACTTTTTATTGTATTCATCGTTTTTGTTTTCGCAAACTTCTTATTTGTAATCTTGAGGTGTCTTATTTTTATCTTCTCTTTCTTGTTCTTCTACGTAATATTCTTCATTTGTTTTGGAATTTTCTTCACATTCCATTATTTCTTCTTTCCTTTCTTTTTCCTCATGTTCGACTTTTCTTTTTCTTTTCTAAATTTTTCATCTTCTTTTTCACTGTTTTCTTTTCTTTTACTTATGTATCTATTATGTCTTGTTTGTGTCTTGCATATCACCTACCAATTCATTTCGATAGTTAAAATTTTCAATATTTTTGAAATAGATTCTATCTTTATATAGTTGAGGTCTTTTAAAAATTTATTAGTTTTGTTATCTTTCAATTCTGGATTTTCTTTAGTTGTTTTAGTTTTTTTTTCTATTTGTGAATGTAATTTTGAAAGTAGATATAAATTTCAAATAAATGATTTTTTATTATGAAATTCTTCTGTGATTTTTTATTATGAAGATTTAATCATAGATTTTCATTAAGGGCATCTCAGTAATGATTTTTTATTCCGCGGCTGAGAGTTAACGTGGTGCCTTCATTTGAAACTTGATGCTAGGATCGATACTATCTGCATCATAACTCCTCGGTTTTTCAATCAAAGCCTCTTTCCAAATAGTAGATTCACTTATATTGACAACCTCTCCTATCAAATCTTGTAAGAAAATAAAACAATAAAAGAGGGGTTAGATAATTAAACGGTTTTCGAATATGAGTTTAACTATACTTGAATATAATATACGTACCTACTAAATAATCATCACAGTGTGAACCATCTATGATTTTTTCAAAATCAACGAAATTGAAAAAGTGTCTTACGCTAGCGAAATAGATCTTTGTGATGATTGTTGTTGGCATCAAATATATTCGATTTAGATGCCAAGTAGCTCTACAATGTCCTGTCTGAGTAGTGACATCGAAATTCTTAATGACAATCCAATCTCCCTCGTTGACCTTGCAATCATAAGCCTCATAAACGGAAACATGCACAGTTGCTTGAATCTTCTCTCCCTGAAATATTTATAATACAATAGTTACAAAATCACTAACGTATCAATATTATCTATCAGAGTTTTTGTTTGGCTTTATCCGATACCTCTTCATCAGATAGTATGAGCTCTAATCTTTTAGCAGAAGTTGGGTGATCGTTTAGCCAAAAGCGCAAAACTTTCACCAAAATTTCAGTATCGTGAGTCCTCGGCCCAAGTCGTGAAACTGTATACCTCTTCCTCAAGTCCTTATCATATGTAATAAGCTTCTTGTAGGTGCCTGATTCATTGACGTAACCACTCTAGATCTATTATTATTGAGGAAGCAAATACTATGGATATTAAAAAGAAAAAAAAATCATCATAGATTCGCTATTAGTATTAGGGTTTCATGAATAGATGTTAATACCTTCTATTGCTGGAGTTGAATATTTCGCGCTTGAGACCAGATCTGATCCTCTAGATTCTATTAGCTTGGAACTAACTGTACCAAAGCGAGAGAAGAAGAAGATAATCATTATTACAGTAAATAGAACTTAAATCAAAGTAAAACCATAAAGATGCATGAGAAGAAAAAATATGAGACCTAAGAACTAAAATTACGTATAGAAAGAAGAGATGCAAATAGTAAAGAGAATTGGGTTGATTATGGTTGTAGCTATCCCTATATATAAGAAAGAATCGGAAAAACAAACCTAGGTTTTCAATTTTTTTATCTTTTACTTTTTTCTTTAATTTTTTCCATAAATGTGACGCGAAATATGTTAGGTATGTGGTATATATCCAAAAATAATTTATGTAAATATCCAAATTGACGTTTTTTATGTCGTATATATCCAAAAATAATTTATGTAAATAACCAAATTGACGTCTTTTTAAAAAATAAAATAAATTCGTTTTTAAATAAGATATTAAGCAAATTGAAAGATTTAATAAAGATTTTCATTAAGGGTAGTTATGTAATTCGTGGCTGAGAGTTAACGTGGTGCCTCCATTCGAAATTCTGACTTTGCAAATAATAGTATGATGTCGTTCTAGGCTCTTTTTTTTTATTCCTATTACTTGTCGTTTCCAATTTTCAATGTAAGTTTTGTTAAAGAATTCCAAATATAACCTTAGTTAAATTAACATCATTTTATGGAACAAAAACAACTGAATAATTAATTTATAATACTCCATCCGTTTCAAATTAGTTGTCGTTTTGGCAAAATGTATCTGCAAATATTTTGATGTATCTGCAATGCAAAATATATCCGGATACGTCCAAATATTTACAGATACATTTTGTCAAAACGACAACTAATTTGAAACAGAGGGAGTAGAAATCTGAAGATGAAGAAAATCTCCAACCACGTGATCTTGACTTTCTATATACAGTTTTTTTTGTATGATTTCTTTTGGTGGATCGAATTCTTGACTCTTCTGCTGGATTTAAGTCAAAATCGATTACAATGGTACTTTCTAAAATTGATTTATTCACAACTGGATCTTCGGCTTCATCATCACTATCATCTGGAGTGTTATTCAAATCAAATGAATAATTTAGATTGTTAGGTGAAAAGTTTAGATCGAAGATAGCCATAGAAGATGATCAACTGGTAAAATTAGATATTAATTTGGCATGGGTTTTATTCTGGCTGGATTGAACACGCTATATAGAATTACAGATCTGGGAATTACAGATCTGTGCATCAAATCTGAAGTACAACTTCTAATCAAAATCAAGCTTCATTATTTCTCTTTAATTTCACTTCTTCTCAGTTTATCCATGGTGAAATCAATGTTTTTGCAAATAATTTGGCTATAAAAAGCTTCACCTTTGTTTATGGTAAAGTCTATCGAAGAAGATGACTGAAATATGGTAATTATGCTTAGAAAATAAAAAGGAAAAATATTTAATATAAATAAAATTGTAAATCTTTATTATCTGTGAGGGTTAAATAGTCAGTTAACAAAGTTTCTTAATTTGTGTGCATTAGTCTAAAACGACATATAAAGTGAAACGGAGGGAGTACAACTTATGGGGTGTTAATTTCAAAACTAAACATTTATGGTGTTAAGTTTTCAAAACTACACTTTTTAAAAAATAATTAATATCTAATTTTGGGTTCAATAATCTCTAATTAGGTTTTATATTTAAGGATTTAAGCTTAGATTTAAGGGTTTAACGTTAGATTTTAGGGTTCAGAGTTTAGATTTTGGGTTTGGAGTTATTTTATTCAATAAAAAATGTGCAGTTTTGAAAATAGACACCCCGTGTATTTTTGAAAATGTATATTCAAAAAAGTATATTTTTGAAATTTCCTTACCCTTATTATAGGGCATTAAACTGGAGTATTAAAAGTTCTGGAGAAATTGATAACATCCACACACACTCTAACACACATACACACACAGATCTGAATTTTTCTAAAGAAACAAAAAAAAATGGTAAAGAAGAGCTCTGCATCAATCCTCTGCTTCTTAATTACATGCTTCAGTGCCATTTCTGTTTCCGTACAGTATGAAGTTTGTGACGAAACTGGTGGGAATTTCATGCCCAATAGTCCATATGGTAAGAACCTCCGTCTCGTAAACTCTACTCTTGCTTCTAACATCACATCTCACGGTGGCTACTTCAACGGTTGGATCGGGCTTGGTCAAGACCAAGTCTACGCCATGGGGATGTGCGCTCCAGGCGCTCTACCCGACGTTTGCTCCCACTGTATCCAGGGCGCCTCAGATAGTTTGCTACAGATATGTGTGAACCAGACACACGCTTTCTCATGGTTTGGTAAAGAGATCTCTTGCCTTGTTCGCTACTCTAGCAAGCCTTTCTCCGGGTTACTCGCCCTGAAGCCGGATCAACCGTTACACAATTATATGGAGATAGATGAAAATAACCAGAAGGAATTCGATAGTGTGTGGGACGGGTTAATGTTTCGTATGATCAAAGCAGTTTCTTCCTCGGTGAGAAACAATTCTTCTACTTCTACTTCTCCTTCTTTATCATCGCCTAGTAGTAAATACTATGCAAAGGATGTAGCTCGGGAGCCGGTCTACGGGAACATATCGATGCTGATGCAATGCACTCCAGATGTTTCTTCAAAAGATTGTAAAATTTGTCTAGAGAGCAGCATTGATTACTATAAGAAATTCTACCATCGGAATAGAGGCATTATTATATTGCGACCAAGTTGCTTTTTCCGGTGGGAACTGTATCCTTTCTCGGCTGCTTTTGACAGTCTTATAATCTATTCACCACCCCCGCCTTCACTACCTCCTGCACCCGGGCCTTCACAGCCTCCTTCGCCACCACCGCCTTATGTAGCCAACCAGACCAATATACCCAAGAAAGGCAACAAGTCCTTTTTTGGTAACATTTTCAGAGAAATCCTTGGGTTTTTTTTTTTTTTTTTTTTTTTTTTTTTTTTTTTTTGGGGTATAATTATGTGTTTAGTGAATTGGTGGTTTTGTGCAGATACAAGATTCTCGGGAGGAATTATCGCTGCGATAGTCATTGTTACCTTCGCTTTCATATTATTGATTGCTATAGGCGTAGCTATTTGCAAGAGGAGAAAGCAAAAGCAAGACATTGAACTTCCAAGTGAGTTTTTCTTTTGGATTGTTTGTAAAGCCTAAAATTGTTAGTTCAACCTTAAGAATCTCACTTCTTTGGAATTTTTTTACGACCCTAATATACGTTGGTCTATAATGAAGCGGAATCTGTTCAATTTGATTTAAAGACAATTGAAGCTGCGACAAGCAACTTTTCTGAGCAAAACAAGCTTGGTGAAGGTGGATTTGGTGAGGTTTACAAGGTATATATACACTATTTTATCCATCTCACTTGCTTCTTTTGTGGAGAAACTATGAAACGGTGATGCCTTACTTGTAACTATTTTTAAGGGTATGCTCATGAATGGAACTGAAATTGCGGTAAAGAGATTGTCAAAAACATCAGGACAAGGTGAAGTAGAGTTCAAGAACGAGGTCGTAGTTGTTGCAAAGCTTCAGCATAGAAATCTTGTTAGACTTCTCGGGTTTTCGCTCCAGGGAGAAGAGAAATTACTGGTCTATGAGTTTGTTCATAACAAAAGCCTTGATTATTTCCTCTTCGGTCAGTTTTTTTTTCCCCTCAAAATATACTTCCGTGTGTTGCTTTTTCTTCTTGTACACTACTAATTGTGATTATGCATAAATATCTAGACCATGAGAAGAAAATTCAGTTGGACTGGACAGTGCGACAAAAGATTGTCGATGGGGTAACTCGTGGGATTTTGTATCTTCATCAAGATTCACGGCTCAAAATCATACACCGTGACCTCAAAGCAAGTAACATTCTCTTAGATGCGGATATGAATCCGAAAATTGCTGATTTTGGAATGGCAAGGATCTTTGGAATTGACCAAACTGTAGCCAATACATCAAGAGTAGTTGGAACCTTGTAAGTGTATATACTTTTGAAGTTTTAATCAAGGAACCGATTTCTTGTTAATTAACTTGTGTATTTTGCAGTGGTTACATGCCACCGGAGTATGTGACACATGGCCAATTCTCGACGAAATCAGATGTCTATAGCTTTGGAGTATTGGTTCTTGAGATCATTAGTGGCAAAAAGAATAGCAGCTTCTACAAGATGGACGGTTTGGTTAACAACTTAGTCACATATGTGAGAAATATAATTATGAGCTAATTCAAGTCTCAGAATTTGGCAGATATTTATTCAACCGTGTTCCCAGTTCTGAATATACATTACATAACTTCTACAGGTCTGGAGACTTTGGGAGAACAAATCATTGCCTGACCTCGTAGATCCTTGTATCAGAGAGGATTGTAAAATCGATGAAGTCATTAGATACATCCATATCGGGCTACTATGTGTTCAAGAAAATCCTGCAGATCGTCCAACAATGTCGACCATTCACCAGATACTCACAACCAGCTCAATTACTCTGCCTATACCTCTGCCACCTGGATTTTTCTTCAAGAACGAACAAAGGTCAACCTCAATAGCCCCGGGGCTGGAGCCGGGTCAATCAAGCAGCAAGTCTTTTACTTGTTCTGTAGATGAAGCAACAATCACCAATGTTATTCCTCGCTGATAGTTCAACATGTTATGTCTGGTTTATGTTCTTTTCACAAAGGATTGTCACTCTAGAAACTTGTATCTCTAGTTGTTATAGACAAAAGTCAAATTTTGTTGTTATTGGCAACAAAAGTATTTCAAACCAATAAAAGCTCTGTTAACCAAACAGAGGAAGTATATACTCATCAAATAAATTGTTAAATGAGAAAAGTATACGTCAATTGTGTCGGCCTACTTATTATGTATATAATTCCTATTGTTGAATTCAAATTGAATCCCTCCTTCCAATAAAGGAGCAACACGTACTAGCATAGCCGGCCCTGAGTCACCGAGTAGGACATCCACTTAGTAAAAGCATATTTTTGTTAATTTTTCTTAAGGATGTATAAATATGATTTACAAAGTTTTAATAAAGCCATATTTTAGTTACTTAAATTTTTCTTAAAGAAATATATATATATTATGTACAAAGTTTTAGTAAGAGCATATTTTTGTAAACTTTTTCTTAAATTAAAGGAGTTTATATATCATATACAAAGTTTTAAAACATTTTTAATGATATTAATATTTATAGAGTATTTGTTAATAAATATCTTTAGTATGTGTATCATTAAATAATTATTACATTTTAAAGTAGTAATGTTTAAAGAAAAAACTAAAATCCTTATCTAGTGAGACAGTTAAAAAAGGAGATCTTTAAATTTGAGTAAGATGTTTAAATTCATTGAACCGATACTGCGTACTAGCTAGTAAAGACTGAGTGACTAACTTTAAAGGATGAATACAATTGCTTGGCTGTATTCATTGTAAATACGAAAATTCAAATGGAAATTTCAAATTTGGTTGGCTTTAGTTAATTCAGGCAGGCTGCGATCAAAATATGTGTCTACGTCGCCGAAACGTCAAGGAGGCTTAATGTATCTCTCCGTAGATGAGCTAAGCATTACTGAGGTGTCACTGACGTAGATTTATATTTGACTTTAAAGTGTTTTGCTCTTGGCATCTTCTTGGTAATTTTTGTACTGTGATAAAACTTAGGTAAAATTTTAATATTTGGTGAATGGCTATTAGACGACTACTTTTTTTTTTTGATAAAGGCTATTAGACGACTACACTTTAAGATTTAATCGTATCACAGCTTTGATCCTCATTGTTTAAAATTTATTTAAAAATAATAAAATTTATGTAAGAAAATGATTTTTAGTTAAAAAACAAAAATGAAAAACATAAGAAACCAACGATTGTTGCTAATTATTCATTTGGAGACTTGGAGTGTAGAACATCCAGCAGTGACGAATCAACTAAGCAAGATAGAGTATCATAAGACACCTCTTAAATATTACTCCCTCTGTTTCAATATACATATGGGGTTTAAGAGTTTCATTTGTGTTTCATATTATAAGGGGTTTTCAGTTATTCAAAATTAAATGTGTTTTTTGTTACTTTTATTTTATAAATTGTGTATATTGTTTTTTCATTGATTGAAATGTTTTGGAATAGATAAACAAACATGTTTTATTTCGAATACTTAAAAAAAAAATGAACTCTTAATCTATAGTGCAAAAACCTTAAACCCAGGGGTATAAAAATTAAAAACCTTAAATGTAACTAATATACTGTACCAAACAAATCACTAACAAAATAGGTGTCAAATGTTATTGGGCCAAATGTTAATGTCCAAAACAAGAGGTTAGGAAACTTGGGCCTTCGAAAAAACATGAAACCTGATGATTCTGCGTCAGGTTCCAGAATCATCTCCTCTTTTTGTTATTTACTTTTATTATTTTTTTTTTAAATAGTTTATTCAGTAAAAGAAGATGGTTTGAGAGACGAAAAAAAAATCAAGATTTTGAAGAGGGTAGCTTCTACCTCTAGTTTTTTATCTTTAGGTGTCTGTTTATCTTTTCTTTTAAGAAATATAAATTCATTGGCCAGTTTATTACTACCTTTTCTCCAACCCTAAAAGTACGAATATTGAAATTAAATAGCACTGTTACAACAAACCAAAAGAGAATAATAGGGACTTTAAACGATTTTATTATGGAAGCAACGAAGATTACAACTCAAACAAACAAAGACATTACAATATGAAACTTTATTCGTATTCCCATAGATTTCACTTGAGGCACTTCATTACAAACGCACCGTTTGGTTCACCTATACTCATACACATACATAGGTGTATATTTATATAGATGCAACCATGCATGGTGGTGAATACATTATGAAGTTTTAGTGACCGGGCTGTGTCTGAACAGCTTCTCCGGCGTAAGAACAACACCTATAGCAACCACGGTAACTGTTTCTGTAGCTGCAGCAGCCGTGGCGGCAGTAACCTCCACGTCCTCCTCCGTTATATCCTCCTCCTCCGCGGTTTCCACCCCCGTTGTATCCCCCACCTCCGTTGTGTCCTCCTCCGTTGTAACCTCCTCCATTGTTGTATCCTCCTCCATTGTTGTAGCCGCCGTTGCCGCCATGATATTGATCAGGTTGCACAGTTTCCTCACTCTCTGACTTCACTGTGCCTGTCAAAAACAATACATTATTTCAAAGATATTATTAGCACGTGCAAATGTTCATATAAAACATTAAATATACGATCCATAAAACAAAAAAATGTAAATGCTTGAGATGGTCCTGAATCTCGTGATACAAATATGATAAGACTTCAACATCATACTTATAAGTGTTTCTTGACTTCTTATGATTCAACATCATATTTATAAGTGTGCTTTAATTTAACTTGAGTAAGTCCATATCATTGACCGCGTCGTTCAAAGTTCAAACCAACTTTCATAGACTTAGCAGTACAACGAAAATAGTTGAATGAAATATCAAATGTTACGTTAGTTGGGGCACAAACATTTTTTCCTTTTACATAGCCTCTAATGGAAAGAAGTAGACTGAAAAATATATAGAAAAAGTTTTACATACCGGACTGCTTTTCGGACGCGGCGGCCACTTCTGAGACAACGAAAAGAAGTGCAAAGAGACCCAACAGAATCAAAGCCTTGGAAGCCATTTTTGTTTTTTCAACTGCGTATAACACTTTCTTTATATGGAGAAACAAGTGATGAATAAAATGTTACCTTGCATGCCCTCTATTTAAAGAAAACGAGGATCGGAGGGAATGATAAAAGTCTAATAAACTAATCCATATGCCAATAAAATAAAACATTTATAAAAAGAAAAGTTCTGGAGATTTATCACAATAATAGAATTGTAAGGAGATAAGTATCAATTGCATTGGCCCCCTTATGGTTGGTTGTTGGATCCATAGTAAATAATTTTGCATCTCCATAAATGCCAATCCCCACTAGCTAGTCTTTTAGATTTTTTCTCTAAACCGTCTTAAACACAGCGCATTCACACACATATATAGAATAAGTATAAAATTACTCTTTTGGACTATATGAACAAAAAGTCGTCGATTATAGGAGAGTTGGAGTTTTGCTTATATGGATCGTCCTTGCAATCTCAACCGACAGATAAAGACAATCTATATGTACTGAAATAGAGTAAATAGCGCATAGAGAAGCAATACGTACGTGGTAACTATTAAGGTGCAATTACTCGATTGCCAATAGAATTCATCCTGAAGACGAATATCTAAATGGAATATTCTTGGCGAATTGAATTTGGTTGGCTATAGTTAATTCAGGGAGTTTTGCGATCAAAATATCTACACAAGTCACCAACGCGTATAGGAGGCCTGAAATATCCGTAGAGTCGAGATGAGCATTATTAAAGGCCATTAAGTGTATACACATGTAGTAGCCCTGTAGCCCGTCAGTGCTACTTACATTTGAGTTATAAATTGAATTTTTTTTCCATAGTATTTTCTTACGTAGTTTGTTAATATTCTATAATAAGATTGTTCATAAACTTATGGGAGGGTTACTAAATCAACACAAAAGGCATTTTCATTACACTTATGGTAATCACTCTTTGGAAAAATTATTGATTTTTGCTTAGTAATTCATGATATTATTTAGGCCATGTGGTTTTTGGTTTTTGGTTTTTGGTTTTTAGCTTTTGGTTTTAGATTTTAGATTTTGGTTTCTGAATTTTTTGGTTTTTGATTTTGCAGTAGATTTTGGTTTTTCTAAAGCTTGATAGGTGATTTTAGTTTCTAGTTTTTCCTATAATGTTTTTCTTAATCGACTTCTAAGTTAGATATTTCTGCAAAAACAAAAAGAATAAAAATTAAGAAAATAAAACAATCGTAAATTGATGGGAAAAACTAGTAAGACATGGATTTTGGTTTTTACTGCAAATGGGCAGTTTTTAGAAAAAAACTAGTTTCCCTTAATTTTAGGGAATCTATTTATTCAAAATCTTGATTGGGTTATAAAATAGTTTTTGGAGAAACAAAATTCAAAACCTAGTCTAAAAACTGCAAACAATCAAGGCCATAATTAAAGTCTTAGTTTATTTTTTGTAAGTAAATCAAATCTGCTGCGTGAATTTTTTTATAGGAATCATAGTTTTTGTAAATATGTTTTCATCATCACTTGCTGAAAGTAAATTAAGGCCTTGATTGTTTGCAGTTTTTAGACTAGGTTTTGGATTTTGTTTCTCCAAAAACTATTTTATAACCCAATCAAGATTTTGAATTAATAGATTCCCTAAAATTAAGGGAAATTAGTTTTTTTCTAAAAACTGCCCATTTGCAAGTAAAAACCAAAATCCATGTTTTACTAGTTTTTCCCATCAATCCAGGATTGTTTTATTTTCTTAATTTTTATTCTTTTTGTTTTTACAGAAATATCTAACTTAGAAGTCGTTTAAGAAAAACATTATGAAAAAACTAGAAACTAAAATCACATATCAAGCTTTAGAAAAACCAAAATTTACTGCAAAATCAAAAACTAAAAAATTCAGAAACCAAAATCTAAAATCTAGTCCGGAGCATCGTGGCCCAATGGTAAGGATGGACTCCTTCCTGCACCCATGTTGTGAGTTTAAATCCTGCTGGAGGGAACTTCTTCACGATTTCTCTGGACACCTATACGGATATGGACCCCTGCTTACGGCCCATTTGAATATCCGGAGAGAGGGTCTATCCGTGGGCTGCACCTCCCCAGGGGATTAGTCTGGGCCCGTCCATAGGCCTAGGATTTACCCCTGAGTTATCAAAAAAAAAAAAAAAAAAAAAGTTCTAAAATCTAAAACCAAAAGCTAAAAACCAAAAACCACTGAAACATTCATGGCCTATATATTAAAAAACAGATTTCCCCTGCTGCTTCCAAAAATCAAGATAGTTCTGTAAAATAAAGCTCCCGTTGAAATGATGGCACTCGACCACTCGTCATACTTTTTGGGAGGATAGTAAAACAACTTTTAGCCGATTGATATGTTTGAGAAACAATTGATTTGCAAGGAAAACAATATAATAATGCAGATATTAACCTTATTATGTTGGATGTTCCTTACTTCCTTTTAGCAATTTTACCATTTCCCTCTTTGATAAAAGAGCATCAAAGGTTGGATAATTTGGTCTAAAATGAATATATTTATTGATACTTAATGCAAATGGTGATCTAACCCCTGGCATCCGAATGTGATACGTGATGAGTTGTACCTCCATCTATCGCCCAAGAATTATTAAAAACAAGACCATCTCCATCAAAATGCGCAAACGCATTTCAGCTATAGAAAAAATTGTAAAGAGGTAGGAAAGTACCAGACACTTTTGAAGTAGATGGCACAATTTAATCATAAGAAGCATAGGAAGAACCAGGAGAATTAGAATGATTACGTTTATTATGCAAACGAACAACGAAGGTTACTACTCAAACATTTCATTTCAAAAATTAATACCCTTTAGTACGCTTGAGACAATTACTTCATTACACACACACACACACACTCACACACCGACACATATTAGTGACCATGCATGTTGGTGAATACATTATAGAGTTTTAGTGACCGGGTTGAGTCTGGATAGTTTCTCCGGCGTAAGAACAACACCTTGAGCACCCAAGGTAATTTCTGTAGCAGCAGCCGTTGCTACAACCACCTCCACGACCTCCTCCTCCTCCTCCACGGCCTCCTCCGTTGTTTGCTCCTCCTCCGTTGTAATTTTCTCCTCCTCCGTTGTTTGCTCCTCCTCCTCCGTTGTTTGCTCCTCCTCCGTTGTAATTTCCTCCTCCTCCGTTGTTTGCTCCTCCTCCGTTGTATCCTCCTCCTCCACGGCCTCCTCCGTTGTTTGCTCCTCCTCCGTTGTAATTTCCTCCTCCTCCATGGCCCCCGTTCCCCCCATGGCCTCCTCCGTTGTATGCTCCTCCTCCGTTGTAATTTCCTCCTCCCCCGTTCCCCCCATGGCCTCCTCCGTTGTATGCTCCTCCTCCGTTGTAATTTCCTCCTCCGTTGTATCCTCCCCCTCCATTTCCTCCGTTTCCTCCATGGCCGCCGTTGCCACCATGATAATGATCAGGTTGCACAGTTTCTTCACTCTCTGACTTCACCGTGACTGTCCAAAATAAGACATTATTTCAAAGATACTGTTAAGCATATGCAAAGGTGCATTCCTATCCCAGATTTCAACATTGCTTTTCTTTTAATATTTTTTAAACAATATGTAAATAAAGTGGGATCTCTAGTTTTGAAGAAACTGTTTACAACATTATATATTAAATTTGCACAAAGCATAGAACCTGTTTGATGTGTATAATAAGGATTCCATATCATGGGTAAGCGTCTTGACTTACAAGAATTCAACATTATACTTTAGTATCCTGACTTACTATGATTTAACATCATACTTAATAAAGTGTGTTTTGAATTTCAGTAATTCCAAATTACGTACTGACCGTCGATCAAACCAACTTTCCGGATTTAGAGAAGAGAAAGTTGGATGAACTAATCAAAAGGTGCGGTTAGACTCACGAATGTGATTTGTTATCTTAAATAGCCTCCAATGAAAGATATATAATGTAATATACGTACCGGACTGCCTTGCAGATGCCACTTCTGAGATGACGAGAAGAACTGCAAAGAGTCCCGACAGAAGCAAACCCTTGGAAGCCATTTTCTTCAACTGCTTATATATTGCAGCTCTTTTGTTTTATAGAGAAAGGTGATGAATAAACTGTTATTACCCTGTATGCTCTCTATTTATAGATCATGGAATGAGAAAAGTCAATTAATCCATAATCCATTCGTCCAATAAGAGAGAAGGGTATTTTATCAAAAGTTAAGGATGTTTATCATGGTTCATGGCAGAATTAAATGCTAAGGAGATGAAGTATCAAAGTTTGTATTGTATACAGCAATTGAGTCGGCCCCCTTCTTATTCATTGTAAGTAGTTTTGGAACGCCATAAATGGCATCCACACTAATCTTTTTGATCTTTCTATATCAACAAAGCACATTCACACAAAATATAGATATATCGAATTCCATTACTGGAATATTAATTGCTATTAGTTGGACAGAAACGTCGTCCACGGAAGCGGATTGGAGATTTGGAATATTTGTTATATATGTATCCTCTAAAGAATTCTTAAAGGTGGCGGAGTTTAGACATGTAGCTGCCGTCCATGCTAATTATATTTTGACTTAGAAGTGAGTTTGTTTAGCATTTTCTTGCTGATGTTCATAAAATAAAAGATCGCATTTTCTTGGTTGGTTTGTTAATATTTTATAATAAATAATATAAGTTTGTGCAAAAACTTATCAAAGCGAAGTGATGGTATCTCAGTTATTCATTTGGTGTAAACATCAAATTATAGTATGTCTAATTGACTAATTTCAAGATAGAAGCCCATCAAAATGAGATGATCTTAACCAAGATAACCATAAGCAATAGTTGGGAACTGGACATAGCACTAAACAAATCTGCGTTGGAAATTTGAGATGGAGATATGATCAGAGAGCTTGGTCTAGTTCGACGGATTAACTCCATATGGAAAATAAGATTTTTTTTTCTTTTGTTTCAACATGCTTAGAGAACTTTGCAAGTGTTTGTGTATGCAAAACCTTGATAGAATATCTAGCCTATAGGTGTCTGGTTACATTTTCTTTTAAGAACCAAAAATAATCCTTGGTCAGCCTGTTTATATTTACTATTTTCTCCAACCGTAAGAGTGGGAATAATGTAATAATTAATAGTGTTGCACAAAACCGAAAGAGATTAACATAAAATACAAACAATTTTATTATGAAAAGAACGAAGACTACAACTCAAACACATAGACATTACATTGCAAACTTTATTCCCATGCACTTCTTTATTTATCCAGCCCCTTTAGTACACTTGAGGCACTTACTTCATTACAAACGGACCATCGGTTTACATATACACACACATTACTGACCATGCGTTCTGGTGGATACATTATAGAGTTTTAGTGACCTGGCTGAGTCTGAACAGCTTCTCCAGCGTAAGAACAGCACCTTGAGCAGCCACGGTAATTTCTGTAGCAGCAGCCATAGCGGCATCCACGTCCTCCTCCGTTGTATCCTCCTCCTCCTCCATTGTCCCCGTGGCCTCCTCCATTGTATGATCCTCCTCCGTTGTAATTGCCTCCTCCGTTGTATCCTCCTCCTCCGTTTCCTCCACGGCCTCCCGATCCACCTCTATATTGATCAGGTTGCACTGCTTCCTCGCTCTCTGACTTCACTGTGACTGTCCAATACAACACATTAATAATTCAAGGATGTTGTGTTACCTGTGGAAATGTGCATTCCCTTCTCGTATTTCAAAACTATTCTTCTCTTGAAAGGTTTTAAAAATATGTACGTAAACTGGGATAAGAAAATATTTACAACATTGAACATTCTATATAAGTACTATACAGCAATCGCACATAACATATAAATTGCTTGAGATGGTTATGAAACTTATGAAAAGCATTCAACAGCATGCTTAAGCGTCTTTACGTACTACTGTACTAGGATTCACCATCGTAAGTGTCTTGACTTACTATGGTTTGAAATTACAGTGTTTTGATTTTAGAAAATGCAAATATTGGACCGTACTTCAAACCAACTTTCCGGACTTAGAAGGGAGAAAATAGTTGGATTGAATTATCAAAAAGTACATTAGTTCAGGTTCGATTAGCCTCACCAACATCGTTTTAAAATTCAAAAGAAAAAAGTAATTCACGTACCCGGCTGCCTTGTCCGTGCCGCGCCCACTTCTGAGACTACAAGAAGAACTACAAAGAGACCCAACAGAACCAAAGCCTTGTAAGCCATTTTCTTCAACACTCTTTTGTTTTATGAAGTAAGTGATGAGTAAAATGAAACCATGCATGCTCTCTATTTATACATCATGGAATGAGAAAAGTCAATAAATCCATAAACCATTCGTCCAATAAGAAAGAAGGGAATATTTTATCAAAAGAAAAGTCTAGTACATATCACAATGGTAAGGAGATAAGTATCAAACTATGTATGTATACGGCAATTGGGTCGGCCCCCTTATGGTATGGTTCTTGAATTCATCGATGTAATTTTTGAATCTCCATAAATGGCAAACTCTAATCTTTTTGATATTTCTATATCAACCACGCTAACATAGCGCATTCACACAAATGCCTTATTGGATTATTAGTTGACATGAAAAGTCGTTCATTATTGGACTTGTTTGTAACTACTAATTAAACACTGACTTTATTTTTTTTTGTGCAAATTTTAAAGACTGACTTTAAAAGGAGCAAAAAACTTGCTTTGCTATTTGCGAAGGAAAAATATTTGATTAAAACTTGACTTTAAAAGGTGCAAAATTCAGATCGAGTTTGATTAAAATATTTATCAAAATCATTTACTCCCTCTATTTCAAATGACTTGTCATTTTGGGAAAATTTATATACAATTATTTGAATATATTGAACTCAAAACACATCTAGATACATCCAAATAATCGTATGTACATTTTTCCAAAGCGACAACTAATTTGAAACGGATCAAGAGACTATTTGTATGGAGGTTAAATGTTTCCCAAGCTGATTTTACCCCAAAAAAAATGTTTCCGTAGCTGAGATTCACATTATTATTAAAGGTCGTTGAGTGTTGTTTGGCATTTAGTTGCCGGACTGATCTCTCTCATAAGCAACTCCAATAGTTCATTGCATTTTTCATTTTTCATATCAAAATGCAATTGGATTTCTCTCCAATATAAACTTAATAAACTAATCTGCACAAAAACTTAAGCATACGATATAGACAAAGTAAACATACAATAATTCTCCAAAGCAATATCCAAAGAGTGATAATATAAGTTTATAACATAATCATCTATAAATCATAATTTTATTAAAAAAAATAAATAATTAAGAACTATCGTATTACATAAAAAAATGATTAATAAAAATGTGATCAGCGGTCAAAGCTTAGTAGTTTGCATGTAGCCTTAAGCATAACACGATAAACAAAACGCATAGGAAACATAATTCCAAAACAATCTTCTGGAACACCGAGTAGAAGACTGCAACAATCCTTAGTGATATTTTTGAGCTGGAAGTGCTTTATTGCGTCTACGCAATTTGGAATTTTTGTTGCGTCTTTTACACATGACATTGGATTTGGTAGCAATCCTTCCTCTGACACCGGAGCAAGCCCGAGATCTTTATTACCTTTAGTATTCTGAGAAATTGATAGCATCACTACCATCGTTATTAAGAAGGACAAACACACTCTTTGGTTGTTTTCACACATTGTTTAGTGTTTATACAATTTGTATTTAATTTGTGATTGCTACTGTGACATCTGTCCTAGTATTTATAATCGTGACTGGTTATGTACCTATTTAAATACACTTGAATGGTTTATGATCCTATTTAAGTAGACGATATATAATTTATTTTATTTTGATTCTATGATCCTATTAAAGTAGACGATATAATGTGTTAGTTGTCCTCTAATATCTTACCTTCCAGAGATAAAAGATGTTCATTGTATATGATCAATTATATGTGGTATGTTTATGCATATTGCCTAAACATATTTTGTCTCCGGAAGGTAAGATATTAGAGGACAACTAACACGTTATATCATCTACTTAAATAGGATCATAAAATCAAAAGAAAATAAAATATAAATTGTCTACTTAAATAGGATTATAAAGTGTATAAACCATTCAAGTGATCATAAACCATCCAAAACGGGCAAACAACAAGTACATGCAAGTGCATAATATCAGCCCACTTACAAGCCCAAATGATAACAAAATTATAATCTGAAAGCCACACAGGCCGAGACATGCAGCTAGATGTAATGTCTCTGGTAGTCTTTAATTACTTTTAAGAAAGACTTCCTTGGCCGTTTAACTCAGTTCTTTTTTATAGGAACATAATGAAATCGCATCATGATGTTACACGAAACCAAAGAGAATGACATAAACTACAAACCATTTTATTATGCAAAGATCGAGCGCAGATTACAACTGGAACACAGAGACATTACAGTATGAAACCTATTCCCATAGTTTCCTTTATTAAACTTGACTTGATTCATTACCAACTCACCATGATTACTTATAGTCATACATATAAGCGTGTACATAGATGTAATCATGCATTGTGGTTAATAAATGATATCGATTTTAGTGACCAGTCGTCTGAACAGCTTCTGCTCCGTGTCCCCCGCGCCCTCCGTGGCCTCCCCTTCCTCCGCTGTATCCTCCACCTCCGTTGTGTCCTCCTCCCCCGCCGTGTCCTCCTCCATGGCCACTACCATATCCTTCAGGTTGCACAGCTTCTGCTCCGTGTCCCCCGCGCCCTCCGTGGCCTCCTCTTCCTCCGCTGTATCCTCCACCTCCGTGGTGTCCTCCTCCACCGTTGTATCCTCCTCCCCCGTTGTGTCCCCCTCCTCCGTTGTAACCTCCATGGCCGCCGTGGCCATATCCTTCAGGTTGCACAGTTTCCTCACTCTCTGACAAAACAAAACACAACATTAGTTCAAAAACTATTCTTTAGCACGTGCAAATGTAACATCATACGTAACTCTCTTTTCTTACTAGGACATGCACATCATACTTAATTGTGTTTTTGACTTAGTAACTCCGTATAATTGAACGTCGTTCAAACCAACTTTCCGGACTTAAAAGGGGCGTTTTAGTTTTTTTCTCAAAAGAGGGTCAAAAGGGACGAATTAGTTGGATCAAATGGTTCTTTAGTGCAGGTTTGATTAGCCTACAAACAATTTCTTTTAATTTTCTATACAAAACAATTTACATACCCAACTGCCGTGAAGCCACAGCCATTTCTGAAACGACGAGAAGAAATGCAAAGAGACCTAACAGAACCAAAGTCTTGGAAGCCATTTTCTTCAACTGTTTAACACTCTTTTTTATCTTATGAAGAAGTAAGTGATGAATAAAATGTTAGCCTGCATGCTCTCTATTTAAAGAAAACGAGGAGTGAATGAGGCAAGACAAGTCGGATACTCAATTCGTAGTGCAAAAAAAAAGAAATGATTTTTAATTAAAAGCGAAGGGGAATTTGTCACGACAAAATAAAGATTATTCGCACTACCTTCAGATAATGACAAAAGTTTTAGTAGCAATCATAAGATAATTTTTCCAAAAGTGAATTTCTTTCAACATTGAGAAGATTTTCCTTCTCTCTGTTGTCTTTTGACGGTAAATACAAGTTTTACACTATATATGTTAGATCAATTTCTTTTTTTATTATTTTTTTATGGAAGAAAGTTTTTATATAATTAACTTATACTGTACACCCAAATGTTTCTATGCAATGTTATATAATTAACATATATATATATATATATATATATATATTCCTTATAAATTATTATCTGCCAAAATTATATATAAATATATATAATGCGCTAAATATTGATTTCTTATGTACGAAAATATCAAACAAATATACTTTTTGATTTTATTTTTTCTAATAACAACTCTAGCACTTGTTATTAACAAACAATTTTGCGTTTCCTGCAATTTACCTAATCCTATCTTAAGTTAAAGTGGTTTGGAGGATAAGTTCAAAGTATTTAGACGTCGGTCTCCATATGGTGGGTTGTTGGATTACTTGGATTCATTTGTGAATAAATTTAAAACTCCATAAATGGCAACCCCAGTACCCCCACAAGTGTAGATTTTAAACACAGCGCAATCACAAACGTATAGATTTACAAAATTACATTCTCGGATTTTAGTTGTTTATTCTTATCATTATTATTTGGACACAAAGTCACCCGACACGTCTGTACTTTAAGGATCCTCTTTGGAAAAAAATCGCAGCCGATAGATTTTAAACAGCCGTATAAAGACAAATCTATATGCAGCGATGAAAGTAAAGCACATATCGAGAAAACACGTAGTAACTACTAAGAACTAACTTTAGAAATTAGAAGGTGCAAAATTTTGCTTGGCTATATTTAATCGTTATTAGAATATTCTAGTGGAAGTTATTGGACAATTGCTTGGCTATAGTTAATTCTTCATGCTGAATACGATCAAAATATTCATCCTACTCACCTACGCGTAAAGGAGGCTTGATATTTGCGTAGATGAGATGAGCATGTGCATGTGCATGCAGCATGCGCATTGAAGTTAGTAGCGGGTCAAGTATAAAAATCTACAATTCGATGCATATTCTTAAAAATAATGTTCAGATAGTTTGGATATTTGACATACGGTAACTAATTACTAATCAGATATAAATTAAAACCGAGAAACATTGCTTTAAAATAAGATAGTAACTGAGTAAGTAGTTGATAATAATAGATCAAAGTTTATATAAAACACATAAAAGTTTTTCTAAATCATGGGGGGAAAATATTGAAAAGTATAGACCAAAATTTAAAAGTTTTAAGATGGTTGCTTTAGTATATTCGGATTAAAGGCTTAAGGGAATAGGATATCATGCTAAGTGTTAAAAGATCTCGGAGATTACGAGTTTACGAGATTCACTTGACCAATCTCCTTATTGTTACCAGGAAACCAAACATGAGGTGTTTTTTTTGTATAAATTTGAAAGACTGGAATAATTGCCCCAGTAAGTATACATCCTGAATGGCTGAATTGCGTTCCTTCCTCTAAGTATACAGCTTGCAAATCGTCCTCAACCCCATAAGCCTAGAGCAAGACCAAACGCACGAAACGATTTCAACAAAGCTGTGGGGAGGAGAAACATCACTTTCAAGGTTCTCTTACTGCATTTCTTTGTTGTATCATTACTCTTTTTAATAAACTAGGAATTTTGATGATGTGTTTAGTTTGTTTTTAGATATCAGCATATATGTAAGGCTTCATCGTTCATGGGAATTAGCTTATAAAGATTGCACCATGGTTAGGGGATCAATGCCAGATTTTAAGATAAATTAAGAGCGGGAAAGCTCTCTAAACCTCCACATATGCAATGAATTAAAAACGAGACAGGGAACTAGCTTTATACGAGATCTTTTATGGTAGTTTCGTATATTTAGTGAAATTTGCAAGTGTTGAGTATGAAAAACCTAGATAAGAGTCTCTAGGTTTATTGTAGTAGTCTTTAATTACTCTTAAGAAAGAAAAAAACCTCGGCAGTTTAAGTCTAATTTATTATCTTCGAACGATTAAACCGCACTTTTACACAAATCCAAAGAGAATAACAAAAACTATAAACGATTATTATTCAAAGAGCGCAGATTACAACTCGAACACAGAGAACATTATGAGACTTTATTCCCATCAGGTTCTTTTCTTAAACTTGAGTCACTTTATTATAAACTCACCACGGTTTACTTATGGTCATACGTGTATACAGACATATAAGTGAACGTATACATAGATATGTAATCATGCATGGTGGTTAATATATTATATAGTTTTTAGTGACCAGTCTGAGTCTGAACGGCTTCTGCTCCGTGTCCACCGCGTCCTCCGTGGCCTCCTCTTCCTCCGTTGTATCCTCCACCTCCGTTGTGTCCTCCTCCTCCGCTGTATCCTCCGCCGTTGTGTCCTCCTCCTCCGCTGTATCCTCCACCGCCGTTGTGTCCTCCACCACCGCTGTATCCTCCACCGCCGTTGTGTCCTCCACCACCGCTGTATCCTCCACCGCCGTTGTGTCCTCCACCACCGCTGTATCCTCCACCACCGCTGTATCCTCCTCCTCCATTGTATCCTCCTCCTCCGCTGTATCCTCCACCACCGCTGTGTCCTCCTCCGTTGTAACCTCCATGGCCGCCGTGGCCACCACCATATCCTTCAGGTTGCACAGTTTCCTTACTCTCTGACTTCACTGTCCCTATCCAAAACAAAACACACCACATTAGTTCAAAGATATTGTTTAGCATGTGCAAATGTGTATTCCTCTCCCCGATTAGGCCAAACAAAAAAATTCTCAATAAAACAGTCAAAAATGTATGTGATATCTACTTAGATTTCAAAAATGAGTGTTTACGTTATTTATATGTTCTATATAAAATTAACACCAACCATCTAAATGGTTTTGAGATGGTCTGATACGTATAACAAGGAGGCAACATATATCATACGTAACTGTCTTGTCTTACTAGTACATGCACTGATGCACATCATACTTAAGTGTGTTTTTGACTTAATAAGTCCATATAATTGACTGTCGTTCAAACCAACTTTCCGGACATAAACTGGACGAAATAATTGGATAAAAAATGGTTTGTCAGTGCTGGTTCGATAAGCCTCACAACCAATTTATTATATCTATAAAAAAATTTTACGTACCCAACTGCCGTGAAGATGCCACAGCCATTTCTGAAACGACGAGAAGAAATGCAAAGAGACCCAACAGAACAAAAGTCTTGGAAACCATTTTCTTCAATTGGTTATAACACTCGTTTGTTTTATGAAGAAATAAGTGATGAATAAAAATGTTAGCTTGCATGCTCTCTATTTAAAGAAAACGAGGAGTGAATGAGACGAGTCAAATAATCAATTCCTAGTGCGATAAAAAGAAATAGTTTTTTAACTAAAAGAGAAGGGGATTTCATCACAACAAAACAAAGGGTATTTTCATTATTTTCAGATAATGACAAGATTTTAGTAGCAATTAAATTAAGTAAATGATGAAATGTGAAAAAAAAAGAAAAGAAAAGAACCCTTTAATAAAAAAAAAAGTTCAAGTGAACAAAATGGAAACAAATTTACATTGACAATATTTTACTTCTTTGATCTAATTTTTATGGTCAATTTAATTCTTATATCCCGTTATTTTTTGAAAGCATATCCTAAAATAACATTAAAAATGTTTTGTTCTAATTCTAGTACATTAAAATATTGAAAAAAATTCTAAAAGAACACAATTTATTTCTGAAAGCACTCTCTTAACTCTAAATAAGTTACACCTAAAAACAGTTTTTGTTTCTGGAAGTTACTTAATCCATTCTAAAAATAAGTGGTAATTATCTCAGGCTGTAACTGGTAACCACAATTGGAATAAAAGGAATGATGAGGAATAGGAAACAAAAAGAACAATAAGGAACAAATTATAAGGAATAGATTGTAGAGAAGGAATGGAACAAAATACCACTAGAATGGTAACCGAAAAAATGAACAAATATTTTGAAAATAAAAATACTCACAAATAAATTATAAGATATTCTAAAAGTATGTAATATCAAAAAATTGCAAAACACTTGTCTCTCCTAACGTAAAGCTCCACTTGACGTTCAATGTTCTTCTCGTCGGTTATTTCTTGACGTTCAAAGTTCAAACACTTGTTTTTTTTGACGTTCAATGTTCTTCAGTAATAATGCATCTCCCAACTACAACACAAAAAAACAATTGAACGTCAAGCTTGCTTTTCTTCTGGTTAAAGAATATTGAGCTCTTATAATAAATTAATAACAAAAAGAATACGAACCTAGCTATAACCGACGAGAAGAATTTTGTTTCCAATATGTATATTAAAATATGTTATTGCCATTTTTTATTTTTTTCTATTTCATTCCTTGACAAATTTCGGGTGTAATATATTTGTACTATAATTCCTCATAATTTAGGGAACAAGAGGGAATTATGTGGGTTCCATAATGAATAAGAATTCCTTCCAAATGGTAAAATTTTTTAGGAATGAAGAAGAATATCATATTCCCTCTCATTCCATTCTTTAATTGGGGTTAGCAGTTAGAGCATCAGTTCAAAGTATGTATACGTTGCATTGGTCCCGATATGGGGAATGTTGGATTCTTTTTTTTTTTTTTATATATATAAAGGGATTGTTGGATTCATTTGTGAATATCAACGTTTTAGATTGTTTCTTATCAAAGTCTTAAACACAGCGCAATCACACACGTTTAGATATATAAATTCCACTGTATCTTTTTTGTTTAAAAGGGCTTATAAATTCCACTGTTGGAACGATTATAGTACAACTATTATGTCTGAAATATAAAAAGAAAAGAAAAAAAATCGAAGTTATACATAATTTTTGTTAAATATAAAGGTTTCTTTGGAAATTAATAGTTTGTTTTAAAAAGGATTATGGGTTATTATCGTTATTATTAGTGTGACACAAAAGTCAGTCGACAGATTTGTACTTTAACGATTTTCTTTGAAAAATCTCAGCCGACAGATATTAAAAAGCCGTATAAAGACAAATCTATATGCAACACGTAGTAACTAGAAAGAACTAACCTTTATTTTTTACTACGAACCAACTTTAGAAAGTGCAAAATTTTGCTTGGCTATATTTAATCGTTATACGAATAGTCTAGTGAAATTCTTCTAATTAGATATTTTCTTGGCTATAGTTAATTCATGCCAAAGTACGATCAAAGTATCCAATTATATATTGAAACAACCAACATTTTTTTTTTTTAATAAATATTAATCAATTCTAGCGAAGGTCTTAAAAATAAATTAAATAAATAAAATATCAATAACAAATAAATCAGCTCAGCGGAAGCAAATAATAATTAAACAAGTCTAGCAAAATAATGCAAAACAATAAAACAGTAAACATCCTATCATCCCCCTCTTCAGCCTTGATTCCGCGATCACACAAATCTTTTACCTGCAACACATTGGAATGGAGTTGCGTAAGTATTTAATAAATACTTAGTGAGGCAATCACTCTGCCTACGAGCCATTTACGCAATTTACTAGATATTTAATAATATTTATAAACTTCAATAATTATTAAATACCATTTTCCAATTATTAAATAATTTTAATAATTAAAACTCAATTTCTCAATTATTAAATAATTCTCATAATTAAATAATAATTTTCCATATTTTAAAATAATTAAAATAATTATTTTAAACCAATTAATTAAATAAATATTATTTAATTAATTAAATCCGAATTAAATCTATTTAATTCCATTAAACCAATTAAATTCAATTAAACCAATATAAACCAATTAAATTCAATTAACCAAGAAAACCAATAAACCAGATTAAACCACACAAACACACAATTCATCACATGAACAACCAAAATATCATAAAAATAACAATTAAAACATAAACTCATCAAGAACAACCACAAACCAAATCTAATCTAGCAAATCACGGACCCACAGTCATGCACTCACCTTGACAATGATTGAAACTGAAGGAAAAAGGAAGACGATGAACAGTGCCGAATCGCGGATGAACAGTAACCCGTGAACAGTACCGATGAACAGTACCCGATGAACAGTGCCGATGAACAGTAAAATTCGAAAATCTCTCCAAAAACTCAACTTTTCTCCTCTACAGCATCTGAACTCGAAAATTCTCCAAAGAGAAGACGGCTGCACTCTTTAAACTTGATTTTAGGGCTTTCTCCACTAAACCGACCCAAACCAATTCACTTAAATTGAACCGACAAAATTCCCAATTTTTATTTTTGGTTTATGGATGTTACAACTCTTCCCCACTAAACTGGATTCGTCCTCGAATCCCAACGCAAACGTCACAAAGACCACAAAACCCAACCTCGCAAGGCCGCAACACCGGAGATCCTCACTTGATCCCCGAGACAAACGTCATATCTTATGTCATAAACACGTTCCAAGAAAATTTCACTCCTAACTCATCATCCAAACACACCAAACAACTTGTACTGAGGCCCACTTGCACCCAGACAAGTCCACACCGGTCCGCACTGAGGCCCACTTGCACCCAGACGAACCCGAAAACGTCCATACTGAGGCCCACTTGCACCCAGATGAACTAAACTGCTTATACTGAGGCCTACTTGCACCCATATAAGCTACACTCAACTGAGGCCTACTTGCACCCAGAGAGTCTGCCAGAGAACGAAGTCTCCAAAAACATGATGAGTTATTCAGGATCGCAATCCTTAGAGTAAAAATTCCGGAAAATGTCTATAACCATAAGATTAGACCGTCTCACAACCAAAAACTGGTCAAACATGTGTAACATCCGAATACCTTTTCACAACACAAGGCAAAATGAGGAAAAACTGCATCTCATTAAAACTCCAAAATGTATATCGTTACAACGAAAACGAAAATACAATAACACCAAAGCCAAAAATAACAACTGAGGCTACAAAGATGAAATAAGCTCACTCCTCGACCTGCTTGTCGAACCACTTCCTGAACTTCAACTTCATCTTTGCCTCTGGCTCCCAAGTCTCCTCTGTAGAACCACTGCAATCCCACAAAATCCTCAGTAAGGGAATCCTCTTGTTCCTCAGAACCTTTTCCCTCCTCTCTAAAATCCTCATAGGCACTGCCGGCACTGTCAAATCTGGCTGAAGATCCTCTGGAATCCTAGCCACTAACTCCTCTGTAGGGTGAAGACACTTCCTCAGCATCGACACATGAAAAACCTTGTGAAAGGCTTTCATAATCTCAGGCAACTCCAGCCTGTAAGCCAATGGCCCAACTCGCTCCACTACTGGAAACGGACCCATAAATCGCGGACTCAGCTTGTTCTCTGCTATGGATCTGTTAGGACCCCTCAACATAGCCATCTTGAGATAAACTCTATCTCCAACCTGAAACTCAAGCTCTCGTCTGCGTCTATCTGCATAACTCTTCTGCCTATCCTGAGCCTCCTTCATGTTCAGCCTCACAACACGAACCTTCTCTGTCGTCTCCTGAACATAAGTAGCTCCATACATGCTGCGCTCCCCCACTTGGGTCCAGCATAGGGGTGTCCTACATGGCCTCCCATACAAAGCCTCAAATGGAGCCATGCCAATACTCGCCTGAAAGCTGTTGTTGTATGCAAACTCAACTAAGCTCAGGTGATCTGCCCAATGGCCACCCCAATCCAACACACACATCCTCAGCAAATCCTCCAAAGTCTGAATAGTCCTCTCTGACTGACCATCTGTCTGCGGATGATAAGCTGTACTCAGATGCACCTTAGTGCCCATCTCTGCCTGAAACGCCCTCCAAAACTCTGAAGTGAATCTGGGATCACGGTCTGACACAATACTAGCTGGCACTCCATGCAGCCTCACAATCTCTCGCACAAACTTCCTAGCCAAGACAGCAGCTCCATCTGTCTTCTTGATGGCCAAGAAATGTGCAGACTTAGTCAACCGATCCACAATCACCCAGATAGCATCGAAAGTCCTCGAAACAGGTAGTCCAACCACGAAATCCATCGTAATCCTGTCCCACTTCCACTCTGGAATGGGTAAACTCTGCAAAAGACCACCCGGAACCTGATGCTCTGCCTTCACCAAGGCACAAGTGTTGCACTTCGCAACCCAGTCTGCTACATCCCTCTTCATCCCGACCCAATGATAGTACCTCTTGAGGTCATGGTACATCTTGGTCGCTCCCGGATGAATGGAAAACTTGCTCGCGTGAGCCTCTCCCAAAATCTGATGTCTCAACTCCACATCCTTAGGCACACAAACTCGCCCACGAACCAAGATAGTCCCATTCGCAGAGACCTCATACTCAGAACCAGTCACTCTCGTCGCATCTAGCAAACTCTGATCACTCTGCTGAGCAACTCTGATCCTGCTAAGTAGATCCGCCTGATCCACTGCCTCTAAACCCAAAGGCTCCTGCGAAATGGCACACAAACGCAAGGTACTGATCTCGCCAACTAGAGACTCCACATCTCGCTCAACTGCGGAATCATACCTCCGTCTACTCAACGCGTCCGCCACTAGGTTAGCCTTGCCCGGATGGTAGTTAATGCTCACCTGATAATCCGCCAAGAACTCAACCCAGCGCGTCTGTCTCGCGTTCATCATCGGCTGAGTGAAGATATGCTGCAAACTCTTGTGATCCGTGAAGACCTGTACTGTCTCACCTAGCAAGTAAGACCTCCAAATCTTCAACGCGAAGATCACTGCTCCCAACTCTAAGTCATGTGTAGGACGGTTACGCTCACTGCCCTGCCACTGTCTCGAAGCATATGCTATCACTCTGCCCTCCTGCATCAGCACACAACCAAGACCAATGCCTGAAGCATCTGTATACACCATGTAAGGCTTCCCTGGCTCGGGTAACGCCAACACTGGTGTAGTAGTCAACATCTCCTTGAGCTGACTAAAGCTCTCCTCACACTCAGCTGACCAAAAAAAGGGACATCCTTCCCGGTCAACTTCGTCATCGGCTGCGCCATGGTAGCAAACCCCTTGACGAACCTCCTGTAGTATCCTGCCAAACCCAGAAAACTCCTGATCTCGGTGGCACTACTAGGTCTAGGCCAATCTCTGATAGCCTCAATCTTAGCCGGATCCACAGAAACTCCCTCTGCAGAAACAATGTGGCCAAGAAATCCCATCTCTCGCTGCCAGAAACTGCACTTGCTCAACTTAGCAAAAAGCTTCTGCTCCCGAAGCTTCTCCAGAACCAACCTCAAGTGAGTCGCATGCTCCTCCTGACTCCTCGAGTATACCAGAATATCATCAATGAAAATGATGACAAACACGTCCAAATACTCCCTGAACACGTCGTTCATCAATCTCATGAAGGCTGCCGGCGCGTTAGTCAAACCGAAAGGCATAACCACAAACTCAAAATGCCCATAACGCGTCCTGAAAGCAGTCTTCCTGACATCTGCCTCATCTATCGGGATCTGATGATACCCCGATGCCAAGTCAATCTTGGAGAACCAAGTAGCACCCCTCAACTGATCCAACAACTCATCAATCCTCGGGAGTGGGTACCTGTTCTTCACAGTGACTCGGTTAAGACCTCTGTAATCGATACAAAGTCTGAAACTGCCATCCTTCTTCTTCACAAACAACACCGGTGCTCCCCACGGTGAAACACTCGGTCGAATGAACCCCTTAGACAAAAGGTCCTCTATCTGCTTCTTCAGCTCTGCCAACTCAGCTGGCGCCATCCTGTAAGGCGTCTTCGATATCGGTGCTGTCCCCGGCTCTAACTCAATCGTGAAAGGATCAGACCGAGATGGTGGTAATCCCTTCAGTGACTGAAAGACATCCTCAAAATCCTGGACAACCTCAATATCTCCCATAACAACTCCAGCTCCTGACTCAGACATAGAAATCGTCGCCAGATACGCCTCACAGCCCCGCTCTAACAACTGCTCGGCCTGAATAGCAGATATCACAATACTCCCGGAAGTCGGTCTCACTCCCTGATAAACCAACCTCCCTGCATCTCGCTCGAAGACCACTCTACCTCTGTAGCAATCCAGATGAACTCTGTAGTGTGACAACCAGTCCATCCCGAGAATAACGTCATACAGCTCCACCGGACTGATGACTAAGTCTGCTGGCATTGACTGCCCCGCAATCTCGATCTCGACTCCTCTAGCACGGCCCAAAGTAGACAAGAATCCACCTCCCGCCACCTTGACCATGCCCGCGCTCTCGCCCGCGCTACTCCGGATGCCACTCTTCTCGGCACGCTCCGGTGTAATGAAGCAATTCGATGCTCCAGAGTCGAATAAAACGTGGGACTCAAAACCGCCCACTAACAAGGTCCCTACACACATGCGTTGAGAACCTCCACAATTTATCACAGATAAATGAACAACACACAACAACACAACATTATGCCCTCGATGCCCGCCACCACAAATGTGCATCTCCACTCAGATAGTGGACTGCCAACTCAACCTGGTACTAAACAAACATCTGATAGACTGGAAATTCCGCTCCAATCTCTGACGCCACTAATCTGCCGCCTCTGGGCTAACTCCGCCCTCAAAGTACGGCGTACCAATCCTCTGCATGTGCCCCATCATATCCAAATAGGCGGCACCATCAAACCCACAGCCTGCAGCTGAACAAAACCCGCACCCTCCTGCGCAGCCCTCTGCTGCACCTCTGCCACTGGAGGTACTCCCGGAGCCCCCTGTGGAACCACTGGCGGAAAACGAGCCAATAACTGCGTCAGCAAACCCACCACTAAGTCATCAAGACCCTGAGCCGGAGCACCACCCCAACCCGGAGCAGCCCCCGCTCCCAAACCAACACTCGCATCCACACTGGCCTCACTCGCCACGGATACCGACTGGGTCACCGACGCAGTCGCCACACTAGGCGCCACACTCTCTCCCGAATCCGCCGAAGTCCACACCGGCCCCGGCCTCTAGCTCTGCCACCACGGCCTCGAGCACCGCGCCCTCTCGCGCCACAACCTCTAGCTACTCAGTCCATCTCACTCATGGAACCGAAAAGAGCACACTAGAACACGCAACCAAAACTCAAAACAAACATAAACTCACCGCGGAATCTCTTGTAGCTGAAGGGGATGATACTAAAGCCTAGCAATTCTAACAGTCCTAAAACCGTCTAGGCTCTGATACCAAAATGAAACAACCAACATTTTTTTTTTTTTAATAAATATTAATCAATTCTAGCGAAGGTCTTAAAAAAATTAAATAAATAAAATATCAATAACAAATAAATCAGCTCAGCGGAAGCAAATAATAATTAAACAAGTCTAGCAAAATAATGCAAAACAATAAAACAGTAAACATCCTATCATCCCCCTCTTCAGCCTTGATTCCGCGATCACACAAATCTTTTACCTGCAACACATTGGAATGGAGTTGCGTAAGTATTTAATAAATACTTAGTGAGGCAATCACTCTGCCTACGAGCCATTTACGCAATTTACTAGATATTTAATAATATTTATAAACTCAATAATTATTAAATACCATTTTCCAATTATTAAATAATTTTTAATAATTAAAACTCAATTTCTCAATTATTAAATAATTCTCATAATTAAATAATAATTTTCCATATTTTAAAATAATTAAAATAATTATTTTAAACCAATTAATTAAATAAATATTATTTAATTAATTAAATCCGAATTAAATCTATTTAATTCCATTAAACCAATTAAATTCAATTAAACCAATATAAACCAATTAAATTCAATTAACCAAGAAAACCAATAAACCAGATTAAACCACACAAACACACAATTCATCACATGAACAACCAAAATATCATAAAAATAACAATTAAAACATAAACTCATCAAGAACAACCACAAACCAAATCTAATCTAGCAAATCACGGACCCACAGTCATGCACTCACCTTGACAATGATTGAAACTGAAGGAAAAAGGAAGACGATGAACAGTGCCGAATCGCGGATGAACAGTAACCCGTGAACAGTACCGATGAACAGTACCGATGAACAGTGCCGATGAACAGTAAAATTCGAAAATCTCTCCAAAAACTCAACTTTTCTCCTCTACAGCATCTGAACTCGAAAATTCTCCAAAGAGAAGACGGCTGCACTCTTTAAACTTGATTTTAGGGCTTTCTCCACTAAACCGACCCAAACCAATTCACTTAAATTGAACCGACAAAATTCCCAATTTTTATTTTTGGTTTATGGATGTTACATATACCCTAGTCATATAAGCGTAAAGCAGGCTTGAAATATCTAGCCTAAAAAAACTACAGTATATATGTATTTTTTTTTCATTTTTTTTTTTTTTATTTATCTCGTGGATCCGTGGAGTCTCGGGTTTGTTCATTACCAACACCTAGGATAATTTGGTTAGAAAGCTAGTGTTCATTAATAAATGCTATTTGGTGAGGTGGCTCGTTCGTTGCTATGGACTGATTTAGACTAATGAAAGCAAGACCATGCAAGTGTTAGAATTAATCTCACTCCATTAAATAATTGTTTTTTTTTTTCTATCCAAATTTCGGAAGCCTGATTTTGACATGACTCACATGAGTAAAAGAAAGCTCTGAAAATGTCAACCTAAAAGATAGCTCTTAATCGAGTTTAGCGGTTCTGCATATCGGTTGGATTCTATGTAACTAGTATGGAATATCCATGAATGGCAACCGACAAGTGTTTTTGATGCTACTCTAAACGTCTTAAACGCAGCACACTAGATATACAGAATTTCATTGTTTAAATTATTATTGTTAGTATTCTTGTTATTATTTGGACAGAAACGTCGTCCAAAAGAATAGTCGTCGTTCATTATTGGTACTTGTTTGGATCTATATGTAGTCAAATTAAATGAGTAAGCATAAAGGAGCACTGAACTAAAAGTTGCAAAGATTTGTTCGGAAATTTGCTTGGCTATATAGTCAATTCAGGCAGACTATCCGTAGTCATTTGAACTGAAACGTGATTTTTTTCTTAGCATTTTCTTGGTTATTTTGTTAATATTCTATACTTAGAAAAAGAAAGGATTGTATGAAAAGTTATCTAAAACAAGTGACTTGGGCAATGTGATACAAAAATAATAACACAATAATAGTAACTCAAATTTTCATAAATTCATGTATATATTAACTCTAATTTTCTCGACACGTCAATCAAATTGTAAACATCAACTCGTTTTTTAAAAGTCAGCTTGCTACTCTTTTTTTATAAAGGAGTCAGCTTGCTACTTATCTATTCCAAGAGCTTTGTGATTAATTCGGCATGGAAAAGAAAGCCTAGTTTATTTCCAGTAATGTAAGACTTGTAACTGTGGTTAGGGGATCAATATCAGGTTGTGGGAGAAAGAGTAATGAAACTCTCTTACCTCCACGTAAATCTGCATTGAAAAGACATGCATGGAGCTAGAATAGCTTTCTTATAAGAGATTATATTTACGGTAATTCGTATATTTAGTGAACTTTGCAAGGGTGGTTATGAAAAACCTATATAGATCCTCCACTTAATTGACCATTTAGATCTTTTTTTATCTCCGAATAATGAAAGCGCATTGTTACACAAAAACCAAAATGATAAATACATAACTACAAACGATTTTATTATGCAAAGAGAACAGATTACAACTCGAACAGAGAAATTACATTATAAAACTTTATTCCCATAGTGTTCTTGCTTAAACTTGAAGTCACTAACTCACCATGGTTTACTTATAGTCATACAGACATATACATAGATATCTAATCATGCATGGTGGTTAACATATTACATTGTTTTTAGTTACCAGCTTCTGCTCCAGGTCCCCCGCGTCCTCCGTGGCCTCCTCTTCCTCCCTTGTATCCTCCGCCTCCCTTGTAACCACCGCCCTTGCTTCCTCCTCCTCCACTGTATCCTCCTCCTCGTCCTCCTCCTCCACTGTATCCTCCTCCTCGTCCTCCTCCATTATCGTATCCTCCTCCTCGTCCTCCTCCTCCACTGTATCCTCCTCCTCGTCCTCCTCCATTATCGTATCCTCCTCCTCGTCCTCCTCCACCTCTGTATCCATCAGGTTGCACAGGGTCCTCCATCATCTGTGGCTTCACTGTGCCTGTCCAAAAAAAAAAGTTAGCAAAGATATTATTTAGCATGTGTAAATGTGCATTACTCTCTCCCTGATTTCAAAATTTGTATTTATTTTGTTTAAAGAGTTTCTACATTAAGTATATGTTCTATATAAAACTGGCACCAAACATCTCAATAGTTTGAGAATCTGAGATGGTCTGACACGTATAACAAGGACATCAACATCATACAAGTGTGTTTTGACTTAGTAAGTCCCATACAAATATACAATTGACCGTTGCTCAAACCAACTTTCCGGACGTAAAACAGACGAATTAGTTGGATGAAATGAAACTATCAAATGGTTCGTTAGTGAATATAATGTTACAAAAACAAAAAATGTTCGTTAGTTCGATTAGCCTCTAAAAAAAAAAAAATCTAGGATCCAATTTACTTACCCGATGCTGCAACCATTTCTGAAACGACGAGAAGAATTGCAAAGAGACCCAACAGAACCAAAGTCTTGGAAGCCATTTTCTTTTTTGTTAAACACTCTTTTGTTTTATGGAGAATCGGAGATGTAAGTGATGAATAAAATGTTAGCCTGCATGCTCTCTATTTATAGTAAACGAGGAGGAGTGCACGAGAAAAGTCAAATAATTAATTCGTCGTGCAGCAAAAAAAAAAAAGGTGATATTTAATTTTAAAGAGAAGGGAACTTATCAGTTATCACAACAAAATGAAGAGTATTTGCACTATTTTCAGATGATGACAAAAAGATTTTTTTGTTCACTATTATTAATGGAGTGCTACAAAAATCAGAATGGTATATTTTTTTGCACTATAAGACATGTATTTATTTTTTTAACATTTCAAATATTTTACTTATATCCTTTAATTTGTACGGTAAATATAATTTATATATCATATTACTGTACTGTTTTCATATATGGATATAATTTATCAATTTTTATACGGTTTACTTATGTAATTCAAGTGTGTCTATATGATTTTTTATTATATCAAACTGTTTTTCAAATATAATTATCCACTTTATTAAATGAAACAATGTATCTGTCATCTCAGCTTATACAGTTTATTATTCTTCTTTTTTTTGTAAAGGGCCTACCTATTTACTGAGTTAAAATATCGGTTTTTATAATTTTCTCAAATATTTCCAATATCGGTTTATTTAAGTAGGAACATATCATACAAATAAATGTACGAAACTTTTTTCTACCAAAATAATGTGCTACATTTTTACCATATTTCTTTTTGGTTAAAATGTTGAATTTCTTGACAAAATCAAATAAAATTATTTATAATAAAAAATTGATATGAAATAATTATTTATAAACATGTATCTCACACACACACACACACACACAAAAGATAGATCGTCTTCATTATTAAGATACTCATCCAGCTTAAAACCACCAATAGGGAAGAAGTTGAAGCTCCGGAGAGTCAATGTAGCATAGTGGAAAAGTATCCTATTTTGTATCGTCTTCTCAATCACCCGAATAAAGATGAGGTCTTGGGTTACAACTTGTAAGTGTGTCATCCTTCAATCTTCTCTATGACTCTATCCAAGAGCGATATAAACGTTTGAAAAGTTAAACCGATCAGAATAAAACTAAGTTTATCAAACCGATGTTGAAGTGTCTCCTCCCAATCTAAGATTTTAACCATACGTTAACCGATGATATTTTTCTAATTTATAATTATGATAACTCTAGCCCTTGTCAGTTACTTAAATATTGTGTTCGTTACATGCAATTTACCTTATCAATTCCAAAATTAAAGTAGTAAGGAGATAAGTTCAAAGTATGTATACGTTGCATGGGTCGGTCTCCATATGGTGGGTTGTTGGATTCATTTGTGAATAAATCTGAAACTCCATAAATGGTAACCCCACCAGTGTTTTAGTTTGTTTCTTATCAATTTCTGAAACGCAGCACAGTCACACACGTATAGGTATATAGAATTTCATTATTGGATTATAGTTAATTTTGTTATTATTATTATGGATTATTGTCATTATTATTGTACTCGAAAGTCAGCCGACAGATTTGAACAGCCGTATAATGACAAATCTCTATAGGTATGCAGTGAACTAAAAGCATAGAGGAAAAACAGTAGTAACTACTAAATTATTACAAGTCATTTTACATTTCTAATACAAAATTTAATCAAACTTTTCAATTTATCTCTATTTTCTCTACTTATTAATTATTAATATCAAATATTGATATGCATTAAATATGAATATAAATTCTTTATCAAAAAAAATATATAAATAAAAATGAAACCTTTAATATTTTTTAATATGTTTAGAAAAAGAAAACCTAAAACGACATATAATTTGAAATAGAGAATACTAAATAAAATTTAACTTTAAAAGGTGAAAAACTTGGCTTGGCTACAAATATTCAAATGAAACTCTTTTTATTGAATAATTGCTGGGCTACCTATAGTTATTCATGGCGGCTACTAAGTACTAACTCTCTCTCTGGGCATTCAAGTATTTAAGTCAGGTTTGGTTGGTATAAATATAATTCAGTGAACTAGTTTTGATGAAGAGAAACTGTCGGATATTTTGATTATTATAACCAAAACTATTTCGGTTATATTATTTCAGGTCGGTTTTGATTCGAGTTTCCGATTCTAGTTACTTTTGCCTAGGGCTGCCGACTACGTTCGGATGGATATTTGATTGAGACTATTTTATTAATACTGTACGTTCAATAATTGTTGCGCTTCAGTAATTTCATCACAAAAGTTAACACTGTTATTTTTCTTTTAAAATAGCCTATCAAAACTAGTTCACGTTCTTCCATAATAAATGTTTTTTTTTTGTTGTCTCGTGGATACGTGGAGTCTCGAGTTTGTCGATCACCGTCCACCACACAACTTGGGATAATTTGGTTAGAAACTAAAATGTTCATTATTGTAGTAATTAATTCTATAGTGGTGAGGTGGCTCGTTAGAATTTCACTCCACTGGGTAACTTTTTTTTTGTTTTTTTGTTTTTTCTTTTATGAAACTTTTTTTTGGTTTTATGAAACTTTGAATAATTGTTTCTTTCTTTCATAAATTCGGAACCTATAATGATGATGATCCAAGCTTTTCAACATCGATTAACTTTCCTAAACCAATTGTTTGTCTTTATCCTTTCAGTGTTCAAACTTGCTAAACCAATTTTTTCTTTTATTATTATTACAAAATCTATACTTGCGCTCTATGCGAAATTTCTTATCTGAGATAGCATATACATATTTATAATTCAAAAATTGTGACATATCAGAAATTTAATTTGATGGTTCTGCTTTTGCATATATCGGGCTCACGTGATCCACTTGACGATATGTTTGACTTGTTCAGTTAGTTCACAACCATCAAACTAAATTTTTGATATGTCACATTTCTTATGCTCCCATAAAATTGAAGACATGTTTGACTTGTGAACTAATGTTTGACTTGTTCACTTAGTTCACAAGTCGTTCTCGTTGTCTTTGTCGTCTAAGTGGTAGTAGCTCGTATCTAGTTTGAGAGGTGCATATGGGCCAAATCCAATTTTTTCGATGGACTTGGGTCTCAATTCAATATATCATGCTTGGGATTAGATACGACTTTTCTACGGGCCTGGGTTTGGTGTTAAACTCAGCTAGAACAGTACGGAACTTTACATTTTTTAAATGCTTGGCCTTATTAGATACTCCAAATTGGTGTTGAATTTGGAGGAGTTTAGGCGAAATGCCTTAAATTGGCGTTGAATTTTGAGAAAATGCACCTTTTTGAAATATTACTTTAGATTTAAATATTTTTTTGAAGGCTTAACAATATTTTGTCTATTTTAAGGAAATTTGATTTTTTTTTAGTGATAAAATTAAAACAATTTGTTTGTGGATAGCAAAAACAATTTATTCAAACACATTGAAGAACATAACCAGCTCTTATCCTTAATCTAACCAAACTAATGTTGAGTAGTGGAGCATTATCATCACACATAAAGCTAGCTTTTGAGTAACTTCTAGCAAATGGTCCTTTTGAACTTAGTTTGGGCCAGCTCCTATCATCTATATTTCTATGCCATAACATATATTGTCAAGTTGACTATCTATTTCTCCATGATAAGTATCACACCAGATGCCGTCCAAACTAAGGCATGATGTTAAATATCTCTGATGGTTAATGATCTAAACCAATTACAGATCTAATGTGTAAAGACTCTAGCTTCATACATACCAAATCTGAACAATCTGCAAATACCTGGATTCCATTTCTTTGAAGCTACAGTCTAATAAGTAAATAGTAAAAAGTAAAAGACGACATAAGCTTGTATAGAAAGAGCAATACTTCTACTAATACAAACAAGACAACAACAATCAAAATTACAAGAATAAACTCAAGTCCAAATCAGTCACTCAAAGACCAACACAAAAAACAAAGCAGTCCCCTCAAAAAAGTTACTGATTAATAATATATTACCAAAATTTACTTGCAACTCCCAAATCATTTTCATGGAGATTCACTGCTGCTTCTTGGATGATACATTGTGGCAAAATCCAAACACAAATGCCTGTCTCTCTCGTCTCCCCAACCTCCCCAACCTTCGAAACCAGCTTTATAACCAGCTTGATGCTTCAACACCCTCACACCCCATTCTTCTTTGACGTTCACAGCTTTATCCGTCTCCTTCACATCGATGTTCACAACCCCGTTATCGATACAATCTCCTTCGTCTCCTCTCCCTTGATGCAACCCACATTTCCCAAAGTGAACCGCGCTCGTCCTAGGCCCTCTCAGCGTGTAAACAGGGGAGCCAAACGAAGGAAAAACAGTAGCCCACATGGTTATATCCCAGTTGTAATCATCAAAGAAACAAAACTCTCTCGTCTTCTCGTGTATACTCTCCCACACACTCCTGTTAAACGAATACCCAACGTTCCCCATTCTCTCTGCAACCAAACTATCAAACCCTTCTCCTCTTGACTTCACATCAGCCGGTGCAAGATTAGCAGCAAAACAGTCAGGACATTTCTCCGGTTTCAGCCTAGTGAGAGCCTGTATGTTGCGGTAAGCATTAGGAAAAAGAAAATGATCTTCTTCGATGAAAAGGACATGACCATTGTGATCTTTAGTCTCTTCCAGTCCATCCCAAACCGTGTTCATCATCCACCACCAGTGATGCTTCAAAGACACAATCTTTGGAGACCTGTGGTTCCCATACTGATCAGGATTGCCTTGGCAATGCGTCTTTGCCTCATCACCTTTGTTCTTGCAGTCGTTCTTGGTTACCCCTGGGAAGCTAGCTCGGAACACGTGAGGAGAGTAAGGAGAGAAGATCTGTTTCACCTGACAAAACTTGATACTATCCACAATCTTGTTCATCTCTTCAAAGTAACCATCATGGCTAATAACCAACAGTGTCTCACTTATTCCTTTAACTTTTGACAAGCTTTCCACAGTTACTTGAAAATACTGAGCTCGGTTGTGCACATACAAGACGATAACCACACGGTCTTTGGCCAGATTTGGGAACAGATCCAGATTTCTCGGCGGTAAAAGGTTCCTTCTTTGCAGCCTAAGTGACATTTTGTTACCTCTAGCTACTCTTAGCAATGAAGCATTAAGCTTAGATTCCAAATCTTTGTCTAAATCTAAATCATCCAAATCTCCGTCTGTGGAAGCTCTGTTCAAAGCTGTTCTAGGTACAGAGACCAACATCAGGACTATAGAGACTGTGATTGCAAAGAGAATCCCTAAACGGCATAAACCTACATCTCTCATTTTTTGCCTTTTCCAAGGATTTGCCATCATCATAAACTACTAAAACTAACCACAGACCAAAACCAAAACTCTTAGACTAAACAACCCAACTCTAAAAATTTCAACTTTAAGATTTAGCAAACCCAAAAGAAGAAGAAGAAGAACCTCGGCGAAGAAAAGGTGCTTCCTTTGAAGTCTTCAAATCCAGAGATGTATAGAAAAAAAAACTGATGAACTAATCAAATCAGTAAACGACAAAGAGAAAGACTCGAGCTTTGACTTTAAATCGTCAATGTTTATATCTCCAGATTTATAAAAAGAGGTTTTTTTAGGAATTCACGAGATGGGTAATCGGTGAAACACTAGATTTCATCAGGAAAGGAGAAGAAGAAGAAGAAGAAGAAAAGTAAAAGAAGTAATTTTGGAGAGAGTCAGTCACTGAAGAATCTCTAAGGAGAAGAAGTAGTGCCGAGTCTTACGTGACTCTGGGTTTCGGCATTTCCTTGTCACCGATCGATTGTTTTACTTAATTTTACTATTCTGCCATTCAATTCTGACTTCTGTGTTTTTTCTTGATGGTGTGAATAAAAAACCAAAAACAATTCCTCACATAATCATATGGAACAACAAATAAAATATAAGAATATTTGATTTGCTTTGATTGCAATCAAAGTTTGTTCGAATAGTTCGTTAGGCTCTTTTACAAAAACAAAAATAAAATAGTTCGTTAAGGTGTAACATCCTTCATTACGCATTGCATTTAAGTTAACCACTTTGATTAAAAGGGTCATCTTTAAAGATTACTCAAATTTTACTCCATTTACTCAAAACTTGAGTGTTTCTTTGTTGTGTTGTATTATAGCGAAAATTGATTCCGAATATAAATTGAGCTATAAATTATATTTTAGTTTGATTATTTCAAAAAGCACAATTTGCAAAGTCTCTCCTTCACTGAATTGATTCGGCTCAGGTCGAAATGTTTGAAATGTTCCCTATAAATGTAACGGCTAACAAAAGTTACAAAACAAGACATAATGAGAAGATAAGGTTTATGCCTTTCCAAGTTTCCCAAATGTCATCCAGTGGTACAAAACATGCCACATAATATCATCTCTGGCTAAATATAATAGTCAACGAATACAAAAGAAGGAGAAAAGAAAACGTATTGTTTGTTGGAACTTGGAAATGGCAGCCAAATTCCACATTTCTTCTTCATTTGGCCACAAGGCTATTGATACAACAACCTCTTCATCTTCCTCATATTCACCATCGTTGCTTGCTTTGCCTCAATTCCTCTGTTCACCATCTCCCGCAGGGTTCTCACAATTCAAGCTTTACGCCAAATTAGGTACTCTTATCTCATGAATCAAGTTTTTTTTTTTCCCCATTTAAGGTTTTTTTATTTGTTGATATAATTTTTTGTTTATCCCTGGTCTTGCTTAAGGTGGAGGAGATGGAGAAGTGAAGCCCAAAGAGAAGAAGAAGTTCATAACCAAAGAGGAGGAACCAGAACAGTTAGTTTTACATACCTTTCTTTCAGTTTCTTATCACGAAAAAATTCTTGCTTATCAATTAATTTTGGGGAATTACAGAAAAAGAAAAGAATCTGAAAAAAAAAACAAAAATGTGACTGGCGAAAACATGGACAGTCACAGGATTTTTTTATTTCTATTGGTTACCTATCATATTTATTTTATTTCTTAGTCTATATTGCAGAATTTAGGGAACTGATTTTTACTGAACTAAGCCAATGTTAATACTTAATACACTAATGGTGTTTTTGAAAGTGGCTTAACCAGTGTTAGTGTTCATAATGGAGCTGGAAATTCCTGATCATAGGAAATCGAACTTATTTTGTTTTGTGGTTTATTAGTGTTTATTTATTGGTTATTAGATTTTAAATGATTTGGAAATCCAAGCAGAATTATATGTTTTTAGCTTATTGGTTTTAAAATCTTTGTTCCAATCATGTGTTATTCTTTTAATGATTTCCACTTTTCATAAACAATGAGACTGCGCATTAGTGATTGAAGAAATGGTGATGGAAATCTTTAAAATAATTTGGTATCCCAAGGACCCCAGCAGAATCATCATGTATTATTGGATTACTGATTTATAAAAATTTAATCATTTGTTATTCGTTTAATCCACATTTTCATAAACAATACAATGCGCATTAGTGACTGAAGAAATAAACGGTTATGGATGGGATTTACATTTTGAAGGTATTGGCAAAGCGCCGGAGAAAGAGAAGGAGAGAATCCGATGAAGACGCCTCTCCCTTACATAATCATCTTCGGTATGTCAACTCCATTCGTCATCTTAGCCATTGCTTTCGCTAATGGCTGGATCAAAGTTCCCATTCGCTAAGCCTTTCATTTTTGTATGTTTTTAGCTTCTTCTTCTTCTTCCCTTGTTTAAGACTCTAAGTACATGAAATGAGTGTACACATCTTCTTCTTCTGTCCTTATATATGTATATTATGAGTAGTAAAAAGTATGCTATAAATCACTAGTTACTTCCAAAAATATGTTGACACATAACCAAAACTGTCACTGGATGTTTCTATACTTTATAAGTACTATGGAAGTGTGTTTTCACTTACCAAGAATTTTCGATTTCAAACTGATTCCAAAACAGAAAGTGGACCTCCGAAAGAATTTCATACAACATGGTATAAATTATGTTTTTGATTCCATGGGGGTATGAAGCTTATTAAGTGTGGATGAGAGCCTTCGTTCATTGATGACGACAATTTGTAGAAACCACCCACATATACTAATTTTTTTTTTTTATAAAACTAGAATGATTTGCCATATGTTACAATGAGATATGATCCAGTAGTATAAACCTACTGATAAGAAATAACTAAAACAGAAAAGTAATATAAACGTTATTACTATAATAATCCCTGTACTTATAAAGTATCTCAAGCTGTCTGGCTCATAATGTAAGTGAAGCAAACAACTAGTTGTTGTGTTTCTCTGCCACCTTTTCCTTTTCTTTCTCTTTGGTGTTATTGCTAAAGAACCTAAACTTTCCATGCCGATCAGTCTAAAACAGAAAGAAGATAATGATTTTTGCTGACGGATGATTATTATTAGATCTTTTGGGAATTTCCTCTAACCTTTATGCTCCTATCTTCTTCTCCATTTTGGTTAGGTATTAATCTGTCTGTCTCTCTTTTTCTCTCTCTCTCTCTCTATGTAACTGTCGAAATCTCCTTCCCGGAAAGGGATGAAAACGGACTCTCAGGTAGATTCAAGACTTGACTGTCCAAAGGTTCACAATGCATCATTCTCCTGAATAAAAAATGAAAAACATTATATGATAAATATCAAAATAAGGTCTGAAAATGTGTATGTTAAGATGAATGTCTTTTGTGTACCTATCATTGTCATTGTAGTTAGTGGCTATGTTCATGACATTATCTTCCGTGTTCAAATAGTCAAGCAGATAGCTCAACCGTCCAGCTTGTTCCTCTTGCTCCGCTACAAAATTAAATACAAGTTATACAATTGATTCCGCAATTTTCTTGGTTTGAGTTTGATGTATAATTACCATCTGATGTTAGCTTGGAGTCATCGGCGTCGCCGAGATAGGAGTAATTAGTAGGTAAAGACTTAGAAACCGAATGCTCATGTTCTTCAAGAAACTGATTCATCATTAGTCTTGACCTCTCACTAACCCGCGGTGGCACTTAAAATCAACACAAGAGAAAGAAAAAAAAAGTTAACTAAAACCGTAAAAACAAGATTACTAAAAAAAAAAACAAAAAAAAATGATTTGGTAATTAATTACTAACATGTGTTCATCTCTATGTCTCTGTCAATGTATTGAGAGCCATATCGCATTCCGTGGAGAGGCTTGTTACTGTCAAAGTAACGATTAGACCGTGATTTTTCCCGGTAAGGCTTGACAAGAACACGAGCACCGCAGATGAAATGAGGACTGCCTTTAGCAAGAATGTGTTTGACGGTCTCCGTGTAAACAAAAGTCACAAACCCGAACATTCTCTTCTGCTGACAAGGAATCCTCACATCTTCCACGTGTCCAAATTTGGAGAAGTAGTTTGACACGTCATGTTCAGTGAAACTACTCTCAGCCGGAAATGTCAAGTAAATCTGCCTTGAACCAGCAAGGATCGCTCCATGTTCGTTTCTCTCTCCCATGTATTCCATAAACTTTGACACATCTTCTGCTAATATAACTGAATGCTGTCCATGAGGCCTACAAATCCAAAAGACCATTTTAACAAATAAAATAGTATAATATGTACTCCCTCTATTCCTTTAAGAGAAATTAAAGTTTAAAAAAAAATTCTAAATAAAACCACTTTAAACCAATATTAATGCTAGAAATATAACTATTGACATTAGAATATGGTTTCTTTACTTTAATCAAGAAAAAGTGCATTAAAAATCTATATAATTCATCTTCAAGAAACAACAAAAAAGGTTAGAAAATTCTATCTAAAAGGAACGGAGGGAGTATGAGTACATGATATGATCAAGAAGCTTGGTGATGTTGTTAACTAACTAACCTGTCGATGAGGCGGATAGTGTTCTTGAGACGAGCAAGAAGCTTGGTGAGGCTATAGCCAGCTTTGCCGTGTCTTTGTGACTCGGTGAGATAGCCTTCAGCTTGAAGTGTCCTACCATATTTCTCTAAGTACATCATTGGCAATGAAGCTATGGAAATCGGAGCACCTCTTCTTGATTTGAGCAGCTCTATGATCTCTCCTTCTAGCTTCTCAAGTGATCCGGGGGAAACAACATGCTCTTCATCACTTAAGCTATTGTTTGGATTAAACATCTCTCTCTCCGGTATGATCTGTCCGTGGAAGTACCTACAGTTGTTGCCATGTTTGCAGAAGCCTTTGTTGAAGTAGTTGCATATCTTGACTGGAAAGTCTGGTAAACTCGGCGATCTCCTGCTCGTTCTCAAAGGAAAACATTGATGTTCTCGAGAGAAGAAGTCATTAGGGCTGGTCGTCATGGAATCTTCATAATTCAAGAACTGAGCATTGTTGTGCATTGAGTCCATCTCCGTTGCATTCTCCCAGAAACCGGTTCTCATGGAGAGATTTTGAGGTGGTGAAACTGAAACCGATAGAAGCTGAGTTGGCGAAGCCGCCGTGAATGATCTCAAACTATGGTTAAGATGATCCGAAGGAGGGCTGTTGTAACGAGGATCTTTAGCTAGTTCGTATTTGACGAAGTTGATCATGGAACGCATCACGGAATCTGGACAGAAGGCGAGACGGATCATGTCTCGGTCGCTGTGGTCTTGCATCAACAAGAGATAGCCGATGATTTTCGAAACATTTTCAGGTTCAAGTTCTTGGATTCTGTTGTGCACAACGTTTATTGCTCCTGTGAAATCCATCTCTAATAAATTTTGTGTAACATAAAACCTCGCTGCAAAACAAATCATTCACATTTTTCGTTATTATTCAACAATGTTTAAGTCAAACACTTATATGGATGAATCAAGAAAAGTAACATAACGACAAGTTGAAACCAAAGAGTATTAGAGTGAGACTCACTCAAGAACGCACATGTTTTTATTTGTACAAAAATGGGATTTACATTGTAAGTCAAACAAAGAAAAAGATCATGCATGGTTATGGATAAGAAGAAAAACGAGATAGATCTGAGTCACGATTATACAATCAAGACACAACAGTTTGACCCAAAGAAACAAATTACTTTTACAACACAAAAAAAAAAAAAAAAAAAAACAAATTCCCTTTTTATTTTCTTGAATCATCATTTTAACATATACTCTTCTTTAGTTCAAACGACATTAATTAACACAATACAAACAGAGTTAATGATCTTTGTTCATGTGAAAAGCAACATAAGTAATTGCATTTGAAGTGAAGAAGAAAATGTTTTTTTTTAGTAAGGTTTTGGTTGGAATCAAAACATTCGAAAATAATTAGAGGTTGAAAATGGTAATGAGAGTGGAAGAGGAGGAATTACGAAAACGAAAAGTCTGAAAATGTTTACCTTGGAGAAGGATTTTCGGATCAGCAAATGAATTTTAGAGAGGATTATCCATAAGATATGTTTCCTGCTCTCTGTTATTTAGAAATGTCAAATCACAAAATTGTCTATTGACATGGATCGTGAAGCATGCTAGAGAATTCTGAAAAAAAAAAGATGTCGTTGACAAAGCAACAACAAAAAAAACGTAAATAAGAACGGCTTTGAAAAATAAAAAATGGAGATAATGGAGTTTAAGAAAAAGGTTTACCGTGAGAACCACAAACGAAAGAGAAGAGAGAGTGATCAATTTTTTTAAAAAAGAAAGAAATAAAGAAGACAACTAAGAGAGATCGTGCAATTTTTGTATTTTATTCTTTGCAGACTTGTAGTAACTGTAAAACAGATAAGATCTCAAAGAATCTTGGATGGTAGAGAGAAGAAAAACGATAAGTCCTAGGTACCAACTTATTTTTTGATTAAACAAATTCTTGTTGCGATTAAAATTGTGTTTTAAATAAAAATGTTTGAGTTTTTCTTCCTTTTACATATCGTTACAGCGAATATCGGAACACAGTTGGAATAAACCTCGAGATTTAAGACTTTTTAATTACAGTTTAAGTATTAACCGTAGGATTAGAAGACCTTTTTGGTGGTTTGACTTTTGTTAAGTCCATTTTGATTAATGGATGGTTCATATTTTATGCTTCGATTTCAGTTGTTTCATTGTTTGTCTACGTGGCTCGCAGGTTGTGTGTTTGGATAAGGATAATGCATATATAGACTATAGTCGTGACCGTTAGCAAAAATCCATACGAAATAGCGAAACTATCGATAATATATCAAAGTTGTTATTAATAATCGATTTTTTATAAAGAAAATGGAAAAAGTCGAGCTTAAAATTGAATCAATAGCCGGATTAAAACACTTAACCATAAACACTCATAATCATAGATTCATAGTAACCATAGCCAGAAAAAAAGGCCATTATAAACTATTTATCTATGAGCAATCCGTTTCAAAGCTCTGACCAAAATTGCCAGAGTGAAAATGTTCTTCGTAGGTCAGATTAGGGTTTCTAGCTTCGTATGTAAGGGAAGGGAGAGAAGATTCGTCTCAGGTGCCGAGGGCAGTGAGGATCGATCAGTACACACGTAAAACGGATAACTTCTAGTGTAATTGCGTAATTTACGTTAAGCCAAATAATTCTGATAATTATCACAACAATAATTGAAACTCGTGTTGTGTTACGGTCTGATTATATGGTTATGGAAAAGTTCCCAAACAAAAAAGATTACATGGTTGGATCAACGTGCTCACAAGTCACAAGTAGGCATGGTATGTTGTTTTAGTACATAATATTTTCATTTCTTCCTAATGGCTCTTTGTCTTTGATTAACTTAAGTTGACCTAGACAAAAGAACAAACCCATGTCAAGAGAATTCAACCCTTTTGTACTATAGTTGTAAGAATATCAATCAAGATTCGATTAAACTCTCAATTAAGTTACAACTCCGTTTAATCGTGTACAAAACTACAAATAATCACCCAAATCTACTTTTCAACCTTGCAGTTTCTTTTGCAACGTCGACAACTTATCATCCTTTGAGTTTAATCATATCCAACATTTGTAGATATCACCTTAAAACATCAAATATGCATTTTGAGCAAAGCACACGCCAAAGCAAATAAATGGTTTCACTTTCACTAATCCTGAAACGTGACTAAACCAATAGAGAACCGGTATAACAAAACCGACACAATCCAACTCTAAAATTGTTGCTTTTGTTCGCACTTAACATCTGAAAAATTATTGGAAGGCTGATGAGATCTAAAGAAGAAAATTCAAACAAGAAACACAGAAAAACCTAAAAACCCAATTCCAGAGCCAAAATTGATCACACGATCTTGCGGATTCTCGATTCGAACATCGAGAGATGTACCACTGGAGGAAATTCGACTTCTTCGAGGAGAAATACGGAGGCAAAATACCTGAGGAAGTCACCGGAGATATACAATGCTGTTCCAGTGGCCGTGGCAAAGTCGTCATCGGCTCCAATAACGGATCCGTCAGCTTCCTCGATCGCGGCATCAAGTTCGATTCCGGTTTCCAAGCTCACTCTTCCTCCGTTCTCTTCCTTCAGCACCTCAAGGTTCGCTCAGTTTCTCCCCTTTTTATCCATTCTCATCAAATGCTAAGGACACGATACAGCGAAATGAAACGAAAATGTTGATGATCCTTTTCAATCCACTCATCAATTCTGCAATTCCACTAGATTTTTTCTGTTTTCTCGCCACGAAATTGCTTCTGGGACTAACTATGGCTATTTCAATTTGGTTCTAGTGTTTCACTTTTGTTTTTGGCTGTGTGTTTTGGAAATTTAGAGATTTCAGTTGTGGAAGCTTTTCCTTATTGAAGCTGGAATTGATTTTCACTCATCGTTTCGTCTTTGGGATAATGTAGCAAAGGAACTTCCTCGTCACAGTCGGAGAAGATGAACAAATATCGCCGCAGCAGTCAGAGATGTGTCTAAAGGTATTTGACCTCGACAAAGCGCAGGAAGAAGGCACGAGCTCTGCTGCTCCTGAATGCATTGGTACCTTGAGAATATTCACTAATCAGTTTCCTGAAGCAAAGGTAGAAGCTAATCTCTTTTCCATTTCTATGTGTTTATAGAAGAGACTTTATGGTTTTTGAGATTTTCTTATGTGCAAAAATGCAGATTACTTCTTTTCTAGTCCTTGAGGAACTTCCACCGATATTACTCATAGCCATTGGGTTAGATAATGGTTGTATTTACTGTGTCAAAGGGGACATTGCACGAGAGCGTATCACCCGGTTTAAGCTTCAAGTAGACGGGGTTTCGAGCAAGAAACAATCCCCTATCACAGGGTTAGGGTTCAGGATGGATGGTCTCTCGCTTCTGTTATTCGCCGTGACTCCTGACTCGGTGAGCTCGTTCGGCATGCAAGCACAGCCACCTAGATTGCAGACTTTGGATCATATTGGGAGTGGTGTGAACACTGTCACAATGAGTGACCGTGCGGTACATACTTCTCCTTGTGACCCCAATTTGTTTTCTTTTCTTCTTCTAGCCAATTGAAGCATGTTGTGTTGTTCCACAGGAATTGATAGTTGGTCGACCTGAGGCTGTTTATTTCTACGAAGTTGATGGACGCGGTCCTTGCTGGGCGTTCGAAGGAGAGAAAAAGTTCATGGGGTGGTTCCGTGGCTACCTTTTATGTGTCATTGCCGACCCTAAAACCGGGACGAACGTTTTCAATGTCTACGACCTCAGGAATCGGCTGATAGCGTATAGCTTAGTTGTTGATAAAGTCTCCAACATGCTCTGCGAATGGGGAAACGTGATACTTATATCGGCTGACAAGTCATTGCTGTGCGTTACCGAGAAGGATATGGAAAGCAAGTTAGATATGCTGTTCAAGAAGAACCTGTACACGGTGGCAATCAATCTTGTCCAGAGTCAGAATGCGGATGCTGCTGCTACCGCCAATGTGATGAGGAAGTATGGAGATCATTTATACGGCAAACAGGACTATGACGAGGCTATGTCTCAGTACATCAACACGATTGGTCATCTTGAACCATCGTTTGTGATACAGAAGTTTCTTGATGCACAGAGGATCTACAATCTCACTAATTACCTGGAGAAGTTGCATGAGAAGGGTCTAGCATCAAAAGACCACACGACTCTTCTGCTGAACTGTTACACTAAATTGAAGGATGTGGAAAAGCTAAACACGTTCATCAGGAAAGAAGATGGCATTGGCGAGCTCAAGTTTGATGTGGAAACAGCCATTAGGGTCTGTCGTGCAGCTAACTACCACGAGCACGCCATGTATGTTGCCAAAAAGGCAGGTAAACATGAGTGGTATTTGAAAATTCTGCTTGAAGATCTCGGAAACTACGACGAAGCCCTGCAGTATATTTCAAGTCTTGAACCCAGTCAAGCTGGAGTAACAATTAAAGAGTATGGTAAGATTCTTATAGAGCACAAGCCGAAAGAAGCGATTGATATACTCATGCGACTTTGCACTGAGCAAGGAACTTCAAATGGTGTGTACCTGTCCATGTTGCCGTCACCTGTGGACTTCATCAACGTGTTTGTTCAGCACCCACATTCGTTAATGGAGTTTCTTGAGAGATATACAGAAATAGTGAAAGACTCACCTGCTCAAGCAGAAATCAACAATACACTCTTGGAATTATACTTGTCCAGGGACTTGAATTTTCCATCAATCTCATTATCAGAAAATGGTGTAGACAAGGACTTATCAGTAGCGGCTGCGGTGTCTAGAGCTGATTCTGAAAAGAGGAAAATCGCTGATTCGAAGGATGCAATGGAGAAGGATTGTACCGAAAGACAACACAAGGGACTGGAGCTGCTTAAAATGGCGTGGCCATCAGACCAAGAGCATCCGCTCTATGATGTTGACCTTGCTATAATTCTCTGTGAGATGAATTCGTTCAAAGAAGGGCTTCTCTATCTGTACGAAAAGATGAAGCTCTACAAAGAGGTTATTGCTTGCTACATGCAGAACCATGATCACGAGGGACTGATTGCGTGCTGCAAAAGATTAGGTGATTCCCGCAAGGGAGGAGATCCGTCTCTTTGGGCAGATCTTCTCAAATATTTCGGTGAAGTCGGAGAAGACTGCACCAAAGAGGTGAAGGAGGTTCTTACTTACATCGAACGGGATGATATTGTACCTCCTATCATTGTTCTTCAGACCCTGGCGAAGAATCCATGCCTTACACTATCCGTCATCAAAGACTATATAGCTCGGAAACTTGAACAAGAATCGAAGATCATTGAAGAAGACCGGCGAGCTGTTGAAAAGTATCAGGTTGGTATATTTGTTCATCTAGCAGACTCTACTTACAGTACATTCCTCTCCTAATCGGGTATGTGAATGATGCAGGAAACGACGAAGAACATGAGAAAGGAGATTGAGGAGCACAGGACGACAGCGAGAATATTTCAACTAAGCAAGTGCACGACTTGCAGTTTCACACTGGATATCCCGGCGGTTCATTTCATGTGTTTGCACTCGTTCCATCAACGGTGCCTCGGTGACAACGAGAACGAGTGCCCCGAGTGCGCTCCCGAGTACAGATCCGTGATGGAGATGAAGAGAAGTTTGGAGCAGAACTCGAAAGACCAAGATCTCTTCTTCAAGCAGGTGAAGAGCTCGAAAGATGGGTTCTCTGTGATTGCAGAGTACTTTGGCAAAGGAATCATCAGCAAAACTAATGACGGAACCGTCTAATCTCTCTTCATCCCTGAGGGTAAACCACTTAACTCAGTCACATGAATGTTTTGATTGTCTTTTCTCATTTATCGATCTCTCTGTTCAGAGAGGACGGCTGAAACATCTCAAACTCAAGCTTTGTTTCTGTGAATGAGAGGTATCTTTTGAAACTCTAATCGTTCTACTTTATCGGCTAAAACATTGTTTCAGATGAGCTGCTTGTGAAGTTTTGGGCTTGTTGTTTGAATTTCTGAGAATCTTTGTAAGAGTATTAGTGATGCATACAGAAAGTTAAAAAGTTTTTTGTGTGTATGTTTTGGTTCGTTTATCTTTGGAACTCGACAAACTTGAAGGAGATATACAGTAAATATGTTGTTGTGTTTCTTTAGAATAATTGTTTATGCGTTTTGATTACAATATTTTATGATCTGAGCAAAAACCAACTATGCCATCGAATAAGGATGAGAACCGATCAAGAGAGAAGAATAGGAGACGGTAGAGAGTAGAGACCATGAGAAATGGGACAAATTTCTTAGAAATAATACACTGAGGATATCAACTCGTAACAGAAATGAATTTGATCAAAACAAACAAAAATAGAAGAAAACGATAAAAAGAAAAAAGACAAATGGAAATGAACTTGTAAATGAAACAATTATAAAAGAAAATCCCAGTTTCACATACTTCATTTCATTTTTGGGCTTTCACGATCCATCTTCATCCGATCGCTAGACATCTTGCTCCCTGTATAAGTTACATCAATTCAAACTATATATCGCTGAGTTGCGCTACACAGTCAATAGAGCAAGCGTATGTTTCTGAGGTTTCAAGCATTCTCAAGATGATAGGAGACATGCAATGCGACTTACACCAACTGCAAATCGGGCGAGTTACACTACTATTGAGAACAACCTCATATGACATGCTTGAAACATTTATTGTGCTTCCTGGCATGAGCCCTGAAAAGTCTCCAAGCACACACTTGGGATGCAAACTAGCTTGGCGGTCTTTACACGTGTAGAACCATGTCTCTGGAACGGTTTTAGTCTCACAGATATCACACCAGTACTCACCAGTTGCCTTTTCCCCATAGCATAGTGAGAGAGGATGATCGTCAACTCTATGCTTCACGACTTGTGGTAAAGTGGCGCATTCAAAGCCCAAGACAAATACACAGTCTTCTTCAACGCATTTGAGCACAGGAGATGCGTTCTCGTTACAACCGTTGCAGATTTCATTTACTCGGTCTAGTGAAACATAGTATAAAGGATGGGGATGGCTTGGATGGAGAAATGGCTCAGAAACTGAGCCACATCGTACATCTAATTTCTTATCCTCATGATGATACATGAAACCGTTGAAGATTATACCACAAGCATCACACACAATATAACTGGCGTTGCTTGGAGCCAAAGTAAGCCGTTCGTTGTGCAGCACATGCCATCTACTTTTAAGAAACTCGGCGCAGTTTTTGTGGAGAATGAAAGCACAATCCATACAACCATAAAAGGAATGGAGAGAGATTGGATGTGTGCATATGTTGCACCGCTTGTTTTCCTCACGAAGAATACAAGTAGCGTTGAGTCTTAGGTAATGTTCCTTGTGGCTGAAGTGTTGTATTGTGGTGTCATTGATTACCACATACGGCTCCGTATCTTCTATCTCTTCAGGCAATCCTTCAAGCTCTTTCCCGTTCCAGACATCGAGTCTGGTTGCACATTTCGAATGAACGACATAGCCAGGACACTTGTGACAAGTGTAACCTCCACAGGTCCAGTCAACTTTCTTGCGACACACTCCACACACAGAATCCACAACACCGAGAACAGAAGTGCGAGAGATGCGATGATCATGCCGGTTAATGTTGATGAGGCGTGGAAGACCAAGACAATCTTGATGGATCATGAAATCACATTGAACACACATGTAAGGGCTTCGATCTCCATTCAATCCGCAAGCATTACATGCAAAAGAAAGAAGTCTTGGGAGAAGAGTGAGTGTGTGTTCATGAGTTTTCACATCCAAAAGAGATTTTGGTGGTGGGTGTAAAACACAACGCATGTCCAAGCTGAAGTTACAAGAAGAACAATGATAAAACAATCTATCATCAATCTTTCTCTCGCATAGACGACATTTTCCATCGGAATAGTCAGGAAGTTGACCTATGAAGAGCTTTAGAGGGTGTTTTGAATGGTAAGAGTGGTTAACCTCTAAAGGATGTTTAACCTCTGAGGGATGCCAAACGCAGTCGACATGGAAAGTTAAATCACACACAGGACACACGTAAGGAAACCTATCACCAACCTTGCCACAATTAGCATCACAGTCGAAATCGATCCAGGCTTTGACAAGGGTGAGCTTGTGGTGATGCGTCTTGGGAAGGTAAACAACGTTTGGTGGTGGACACCTAGCGCAATAGAGATCTAGGTTGAATAAAAAACAGGTCTCACAACGATAGCATTGACTCTTGATACTCATTCCACATAAATGGCAATTAGTAGCATATACACTACTATGAAGCCGAAGAGTGTGGCCGACGTGAGATGTGTGTTCGATGAGTTCGGAGGACTCTCCGCATTCCTTGTGGACGAAGAAATCGCAGCTTTCGCAATAGTAGCCATCACTAACAGCTTCCAAGCGTCCACAACAATCACCTGCCCGGAGATCATTCCAAGGCATCATACGATGCTTGTGGATTAAGGGTAGGGACACTCTCTTAGAATCCATATGGTCGAAGGAAAAAAAGAAGAGGAAGACAAGAATTTTTTTTTGTTGGTTTTAAGACAAGAAATTAAAAGTTTGATCTGTAATCTCAAAGTTTGAACAGAAATGTCAAAAGCTATGCTTCTCGTTCTCTCTCCACTCAAAAGTCAATCTCAAAGATGTTCATATAATATACAATATAGGCAAATATAAACTCTAAATAATATAGGCAATAGGCATAAACCTAAGTAGAACGTGACAGCATAACTAACGAGGAAAAGTATAACTGCAAAAATCACTACTAGTTGACCAAAATAAATAAAAATTACGTGTTGTCAAAACATACTGTGATCTGTACAATAATGTGGGCCGATAACAGAGCCCAAATCCACCCAAACCAAAATTGTAAACCGAACCGGTCATGAAAATTCGAATCCAATTTGTCTGTGAACCAAATGTGGACATCATCGCCGAACTTTTCAGTTTTTTTCACCTTCCGGTGCGTAGCTAAACGCAATTCAAAAAACAAATCCTCGCACACACTTTCTTCTTCTTCATCTTCTTCACATAAACCCTAAACCCCTTTCTCTCACTCTCTGCGAACATGTTCTCTCCACAGACGAAGAGAGCCAAGCAGAGCTCTCGCATTGACAAAACTCCACGACCTCGACTCGCTCCGTCGGATTCCCCAGTAACTCCGGCGACCAACAATCGCGAATCGGCTCACCGTGACAATTTCATCTCAGATCGTCCCGCCACCGGCACTCCCGCTCCTTGGGCTCCTCGTTTATCTGTTCTCGCCAGGTATATCATTTCTCACTGTCGAAATTTCCCTTGCATTTCCACCAATTTTAGTCCCGGATCTTGTATTGATATCTCTCTATTCATGGTATTTGCTACCCGAAGAGTCTCTCCTGTCAACATTGGTGAAAAAGGAGGTGACACAGACCAATTAAAGCCTGTATTCGTCGGAGACTTTCCTCAATTGGTACGAGATGAACAAGCCTGTATCTCGAGGAATAACACTCATCCTGGTGAGTACTCTTTGAATCAGATACAAATAGTTTCATCTATGTGTGCTTAGTTTTTTGCTTATTCTTCTCCAGGTGATGTATGTGTATCTGGTGGAATGGATACAGAGACCTGTCTCTCTTGGTTTATCACTGGAAGTAAAGTTTTTGTGTGGAGTCACTTGACTATGTTACCATCAAGAAAATGCGTTGTTCTTGAACTTCCTTCTGGTGTTTTGGGGAATGAAGAGCCTGGTAGTGGTTTAAAAGATGGTAAAAACTGGTTGGTTAGTGTTGTACCTTGGGATACCTCTGCTGGTGCAGCAAGCAGGGCGGCTCGGTCTCGTAGTCCCGTTGGTATTGTGATGGTTAACAGGAAAACTCGAGCTGTTGTATACTGGTCAGACATCTTTTCTGGTCAAGAAGCTGCTCCTGTTACTAGTCTTGCATCTATGGGTAGAAAAAGCTCGCGGCAAAGCAATAGAGCAGGAGATAGTGATTTTAATTCTTTGATTACTACATCAGTTGGTGTAACAGAGCGTCTTTGCGTTGCTATCGCATGCAGTTCTAATGGAGAGCTGTGGCAATTTACTTGTAGCCCTGCAGGCGTTAAAAGTAAGCAAGTACAGTTAGATGTCAGCTCTTCGTCCATGAGTGAGGGGTATCCGAGGTCCCTGGTCTGGCGTTTCTCGAATGGATTGGCAAGAGAGTCTTGTTGGGAGTTTTTGATGTTGACGGAATGCGACATACATTGTTTTACTATTGAACCGTATCCTGATCTGACTGTTTCGAAAGTCTGGCAGCATGAGATTGTTGGCAGTGATGGTGATTCTGGTATCAAGAAAGATATAGCAAGTCAAAAGCAGATTTGGCCTCTAGATTTGCAAGGGGATGATCATGGTGAAGTGATTACCGTTCTTGTTGCCACTATCTGCATGGACCGCGCCAGCAGTTCAAGCTATACACAGTATTCGCTTTTAACCTTGCGAAACAAATTTGAGAGATTTTCAGATGGGAGAGAGGAAAGGGTTCTGGAGAAACATGGTCCAATCCAAGTCATAATCCCAAAAGCAAGAGTGGAGGATAAAGATTTCTTATTCTCTATGAAACTCAGAGTTGGTGGTAGACCCCCAGGTTCAGCTATAATTCTTTCAGGCGATGGAACAGCCACAGTCTGCTACGGTGATGGTAATTCTACCCGGCTCTATAAGTTTGATTTACCTTATGATGCTGGCAAGGTCTTGGATGCTTCGGTTCTTTCCTCAACTGATGAACATGGATGTGGTGCATGGACTCTGCTGACAGAGAAAGCCGGAGTGTGGGCAATACCGGAGAAAGCAGTCGTGCTTGGTGGAGTTGAACCTCCAGAGCGAAGTTTGTCACGTAAAGGGAGCTCCAATGAGAGGTCAGGAGATGAGACAAGGAGCATGCCATATGGTGTTGATAGAACTATTAGAAGGGAGAATTCTGAGTTACAGAATAGTACAGAGAGAGGAAACCATAAAATGGGGTTTACTCGTCAAACAGCTCGTGATGAAGAGTCAGAAGCTTTGCTTGGTCACCTCTTTGAAGATTTTCTGTTATCGGGGAAAGTTGATGGATCCTTGGAGAAGCTTAGTCAGTCTGGTGCATTTGATAGAGATGGAGAGATAAATGTTTTTGCTCGCAAAAGCAAATCTATAGTTGACACATTGGCCAAGCACTGGACAACTACTAGAGGTGCTGAGATAGTAGCTATGACTGTTATATCTGCACAATTGGTCGAGAAACAACAGAAGCATGAAAAATTTCTACACTTTCTTGCTCTATCCAAATGCCATGAGGAGTTGTGTTCTAAACAGAGTAATCACTTTGATCTCTCACTGGTTCTTTTCGTACTGTAGCATTATTCTATTTCATCGCTGTTGCAGATGAACTCAGAAAATCTCGTTTTAGTTTCACTTTTTAATGCTTGAAGACATATTTATCTGTTAAATTATTCTGGTGGGGCATGAAATTTGACTGCTGAGCTAATGCATCTCTTTTATGGCAGGACATTCTTTGCAAATAATCCTGGAAAATGGTGAAAAACTTGCTGCAATGATTCAACTGAGGGAACTGCAAAATTCAATCAACCAGAGCCGCTCAGCCAGATTTGGCTCGACACATGCTGGCTCGGAGGATCAAGTTTCATGTGCCCTTTGGGATCTTATTCAATCTGTAGGGGAGAGAGCCCGGCGTAATACAGTTCTTTTGATGGACAGAGATAATGCTGAAGTTTTCTACAGCAAGGTATCTGAACTTGAGGAAGTATTTTATTGCCTGAACAGGCAACTTGAATACATAATCAGAGCTGAACAACCACTCGGAATCCAAGTGCAGAGAGCCTGCGAACTCTCAAACGCATGTGTTACAATTCTTCAGACTGCCTTGGACTACAAAAATGAGCATCAATTGTGGTATCCACCACTTGAAGGTTTAACACCTTGGCACTCTCGCCCTGTTGTATCTAATGGACTGTGGTGCATTGCGTCCTTTATGCTTCGTCTGTTAACGGAGGCGTCTAGGATTGATATCTCTGCCAAATCAGACATATACATGCATCTCGAAGTTCTTACTGAAGTTTTACTTGAGTCTTGTGCTGGTTCTACCACTGCTAAACTGGAGCGAGAAGAAGAGCACAAAGCTTTGCTTGATGAGTACTGGACTCGACGGGACACCATTTTCGACTGTCTTTATCAACAGGCTAAAGAGTTTACGGAAGCAGATTTCCAGGTTAGCAGATATCCGATCCGATCTTTATGCTTATTAATTTTGTGTTGAATCACAACTTGAACTTGTTTTTTTGGTATCTGTAGGGCGTCAAAGAAAGAACTGAGAATACAGATGATGACATTTTCAGAAACCGTTGTTCAAACTTGCTTTCCATTGCGAAGAGACATGCAGGCTATAAAATTATGTGGAAGATATGCTATGATCTCAATGATACAGGCCTTCTCAGAAACTTAATGGTATGAGCTCAAGCTTCTTCTATCAATGTGCCTCGAGTAATCTCAAAAAATTAATTTGCACAATAGACAAATTGGTGTACTGTGTTACTTCTTATTTATGTTACTGGTTAGTATTGATCCTTTGAATTCCTGTGCAGCACGAGGGTGTGGGACCACAAGGAGGATTCAGTTACTTTGTCTTCCAGCAACTCTATGATATGAAACAATTCTCGAAGCTTCTACGGCTAGGAGAAGAGTTTCAGGACGAGCTATCGATATTCCTAAAGCGACATTCCGATCTCTTGTGGCTTCATCAGGTGTTTCTTCATCAGTTCTCATCTGCCTCTGACACGCTTCATGCATTGGCTCTAGCACAAGATTACGAGTTACTGTCAACTACTGAAGAAAGAACGGTGCCAGACTCTGAAGATGTACAACCAACATTAGCAGACCGCAAACGGTTTCTAAACCTTTCAAAGATAGCCTTTATGGCAGGTATGAGAAGTTATTGATTTTTTACCTTACAGTTGTTTTTTTTCTTCTTCTGAAATTCATGATAACTATCATCATGTTTCAGATAAGGATGCTGATTCGAAATCGAAAGTGAAGCGTATTGAAGCTGACCTCAAGTTACTGAAACTGCAGGTTAATAGATTCTCAGTTGTGTTCACATGTCTCCTGTATAATGAAAATACTCTATAACTAGTGTTCTTTTGTAGGAAGAAATAACGAAAGCTCTTCGAAAAGATGGAGATACCAGAGAAAGCCGGCTGTTCCGACCAGAAGACCTCGTTGATATTTGTCTCAGCATCCAGGGCCGGTGGACAGCGATAAAGGCATTCGAGGTGTTTTCCTGGACGAGCTGTTCGTTCCGCGAGAACCATAAGAGTCTATTGCAAGAATGCTGGAGAAACGCCGCGGAACAAGACGACTGGGACAGGCTCCATCAAGCCTCTGCTAATGAAGGTTGGAGCGACAAAGAGACATTGCAGAATCTAAGGAGCACGGCGCTTTTCCAGGCTTCGAAAACGTGTTATGGAACAAACCGAGCCAACGCTTTTGATGGTGATTTCGCGCAAGTCCTTCCCCTGAGACGAGAAAACCAGTATTCGGGATCTTCCGTGGAGGATGTGTTGATGAGCCACAAAGATTTCGGTGAAGCGGGGAAACTAATGTTGACTGCGATCATGCTGGGTTGCGTAGAAGAAGAAGGTGTCGTAGCGGAAGAATTCTCATCTCCAATGGAGTAACTAAAAGTTTAACTGAACAATGTAAATGGTTTTGAGGGCATTGAGTTGATGATGTTTTGCATTGTACCTCTGATGATTCGGTACTTCGGTTTTATGATTTTACTTTAGGACTGAGATTTTGTAACATATTAGCAGTTATGTTGTTTAACCACAACGTTTTGGCTTCAGGTATGTTTAAAATTTCACTTTCGTTATTTCTTAATCAACTATGATCATTTTAAAGGTAATAATTAAACATTGTGCTTTTAGTTAAAGTAAGGTTTGTAATAACTAAACGGCTTAACATGTAGATTTGATTTTGTTTCCCATAAGTCATGGTGATGAACAAAAATTTTAAGTCGTCTTTTTAGTTTGCCAGTAGAACCAATACGAGTATGATGCAGCAGCATTTACCATTGAGTAGAACCATAAATGCTCAATATATTAAAATTTGTGATTGAATTCTCTAAAAAGGACGAACAAGTCTGACCACAACAGTATGTTTGATGTCTAATTGTGTTTGTTTTATCAAACCAATCTTGCATCTAATTTTGTTTGTTTTAATTATTTTTATATTAAGTCCTTTTACAAAAAAAATAATTATTTATCTATATAAATATGATATTTTAAAAATAAAACTATCTTTACATTTCTATGTCTAATTTTTTTTAATAAAATACCTATTACAGCATTTGCTAGTCAAACTTATAATTTTAATACACTATATATGACATATAAATATTTGAGTTTTATCTATGGTAATTATTTCTTGCCAAACTTTATTTTTTGTAATAAAAGAAATAAATCTTATTGAATTTTTGCTTTTAGTCAAAGTTAAAATTTGTGGTACTAGTGCATAAAGAAAATCCCATCATTTCCGTGTGATGTGGCAAAAAGAGTTACGATTTTATAACGATAATAGCAATTAATTTTGGGCAATTCTCCAATCTGAAGCTATTTTAAAAAATTATTTTAAAAGTAGACTTGTATTATTCTTTTTCTGAAAATAATAGACTAAAATTCAACATAAAAATTATTCAAAATTAATGGAAAGAAACTCAATCATAGTTTGGGGAATATGAACGCAAACATAATGTTTTAATTTTATGTGTAATTTATTTTAGGTAAAAGAATGTTTTCAGAAGATAATTTGGTCCATTCTTGGAAACAAAACTTATAGGTCTATTTTGAAATACAAATTTTTTTAAATATATTTTAGGATATTTCTCATAAACTTTTCAATAACTTCACTACTCTATCCGTTTGAATTAGTTGTCGTTTTGACAAAATATATATGCAATTATTTGAATGTATCATGATGTGTTTTGAGATATATATATATATATATATATATATATATATATATATATATATATATATTTATTTATTTATTTATTTATTTATTTCATAATCACATTGTAAACAAACTAAACTGTAAAAATATAGAGAAGTATTCAATTTGCTTAACCATCACAACGAACAACTTATAAAAAATGTCATATATAATCATAATTACTTGTTCAATATCTTGGATTTTAGCAAATATCCAAAATAAAACCTAAAAAGGCAAGAAAATGCTAAAACAAAAATAAAAAATAAAAAATAATCTAAGTCTAACAGCTCCTGCATGCTCGGATCCTCTGTACGAGAAACTTGTGTTTCTGAACTTCTTGATGCTGTAGTAGGCGGGGTCTGTGGCTGCTAGTGTGATATCATATATAGGCTAGAATTCTAGTATACTAGCTGCAACTTCCAGATCCCGCATGTAAGCCGCTTTGACGTTGCCTGGAAAATATCCAGATCCCATTTGGGTAGCTGTGTGTCGGCCGAAAATGTTGTTGACGATTTCGCCGCCTCACTTTATGTTATCTCCATAGTCTGTGAGACATGTAAATAATTCTTTTGGCCAATAACCAACCGGCTGAAAGACGATACCATTGTTGAGGCCAACATCTAACCACCAATGTCATGGACTTTGATCTTGTAATTATGTTTATTTATGTATTTTAAAAATATTTCTATTGTAAAACTTTGGATAGTCATTTTGGGTTTCCGGTTTTCTAATTTTAAAAATAGATATTATTCGAGATTAAATTACATCTTTGTTTAGATTTGTGTTTTGTATTGGGTTCTAAGAAATGATTTTCATTTCATATTAAATTCTTTTTCTTTTATTTTACTTATATTTTGCTTATATTTACTTGTATTTCACTTATATTGTACTTATATATGTTTTGTATATATTAATCTTTTATGATATTTAATTCACAAACAATTAACTAATTATTGATATCTTTTTATATTACTAATTGAGAAGTACATTCTAATGTTTGGATACAAGAATAAGAGAATCATCTATTTGGATAGAAGAATAAATGGAAAAAAAGTTGTTTGGATATAAGAATAAGAGAATAATCTATTTGGATAGAAGAATAAATGGAAAAAATTGTTTGGATACAAGAATAATAACTTAAAACAAACCGATGGTTTAGAAAACTTCCGTTTTTCAGCTCTTAAAAAATCGGCAAAAAAGAAAAATTAACATAATCTATCGATAATACCAAATTCGAATGATATTTGCAAAATTTCCAATAGTGAAATAGAAATACATATGATTTAAATCAAATTGTGGATTTCTGTTCGGTTTTTTTTTGAAAATTTATGTTCGGTTTGGGTTTGAGTTTTTTTGGGTTCAGTTCAGGTTTTCCAGATTTTTTGGATTTCGGGTTTTTGGATTTAGACATATTAAAAAAGTTTAGATATTTTAAAATTTTTATTAGGGTTTTTAGGTCGGGTTCGGGTTTCGGGTGAAAAAGTTTGGAGTTTTTTTATTCAGTTCAGGGTTTTCGGGATTTTTTGGATTTCGGGTTTTCGGGTTTAGACATATTAAAAAGGTTTGGATTTTTAAAAATTTTGATTAGGGTTTTTGAGTCGGACTCAGATTTTGAATTTAGATTTTATTCACAAAACCGCAACGTTACACCGCGCATTTGCGGAGGTTCTCTACTAGTATAATATATAAAAAAGAATCATGTAACATGGCAATGATACTGTATGTAAGGAAAAAAAATAAAGAAAAACTGTTCATGGGTTTCTCGAAAACAAGGTGATCAAATTTTACAACTAAAGTCTAAAGAGGCCTTATAATAAGTGTTTATTCATCAGTTCTAGTGGAAAAACTGAGGAAATCTAATGTTATAATAAAATATTAAATGATCTTAATTTAGTTTTTGAGAACAATAAGTCAATAACGCAGGAGACTCCGACTTATCTTCCAGATAATATGATGATACAAAGTCAAAACGAATATATCTTCTTCTATACGGGGAAACGAACTAGATAGACACCATTTGGTCAAACTAGTCCTAATGTACCTTAGAATTTTATGTTTTGAAATTTGTTAAAAATCATCTCAGCAGAGTTATAGCCTTAAGCTGTAATTTTTCTTTTTCTTTATTAGTTGATATTCACGGTTTGGACTTTTTTTTGTTCAAACTTCAAACTAATCGAGTACAAACTACGTTTTTAAATTATAAAGATAAAGAAACGAAATCCAAAAAAAATGAGATATCATAATTAAAGAATAGCCAATAAAAATCATTGTAGAACGATATCATCCTTTCATTGAGACAGAAGATCTTCCACTGCCAGGTGGCACAACCACAACCCCTACCATTCTCCTCCATGCACCAAAGAAAATCTAAATGCAACCCTTTGCACCAATCAGAACTCACTGACGTGTACATCTGATCATCATCGAGCATGAACACCTTCTCTGTTATAAAACCCAAATGGTTTCACTCTCTCATCTCAAATCACTCTCCTCAATCCTTGTAGTCAAGAAAAAAAAACAGTTTCGGATAAAAATGGCCACATCAGCAATCCAACAATCCTCCTTCGCCGGCCAAACGGCCCTCAAGCCCTCTAATGACCTCCTCCGCAAGGTCGGCGTCTCCGGTGGTGGCCGTGTGACTATGCGCCGTACCGTTAAATCTACTCCTCAGAGCATCTGGTACCAAATCCAATCTCTCTCCCTCTCTTCTTTAATTAGTCAGACTTATGAATATTGAACAAAAGGTCGAAGAAGATATAGCAAAGAGAACCAAAGTCCTTATAGTTTCTAGATCTTTAAAATCACCGAAACAATCTGATTTTGTAACAGGTATGGACCAGACCGTCCCAAGTACTTGGGACCGTTCTCGGAGAACACACCGTCGTACCTAACCGGAGAGTACCCCGGAGACTACGGCTGGGACACCGCAGGGCTCTCAGCTGACCCAGAGACATTCTCCAAGAACCGTGAGCTTGAAGTAATACACAGCAGATGGGCAATGCTGGGAGCTCTAGGTTGTACATTCCCTGAGATCCTCTCCAAGAACGGAGTCAAATTCGGAGAAGCCGTGTGGTTCAAGGCAGGTTCTCAAATCTTCTCAGAAGGAGGTCTTGACTACCTCGGAAACCCTAACTTGATCCACGCGCAAAGCATCTTAGCCATCTGGGCTTGCCAAGTTGTGCTCATGGGTTTCATCGAAGGCTACAGAATCGGTGGTGGACCACTCGGAGAAGGTCTTGACCCGCTTTACCCTGGAGGTGCCTTCGACCCACTGAATTTGGCAGAGGACCCAGAGGCCTTCGCTGAGCTGAAGGTGAAGGAGCTCAAGAACGGTCGTCTTGCCATGTTCTCCATGTTTGGATTCTTTGTTCAAGCCATTGTTACTGGTAAAGGTCCCATCGAGAACTTGTTTGATCACTTGGCTGATCCTGTGGCTAACAACGCTTGGTCTTACGCTACTAACTTTGTTCCCGGAAAGTAATTGTCGTATGGATTTGCTTCATAATCTCTCTACTTTTGTAAAACCGTTAATGTGTATTATTCGTGTTTTAATGTGAATTTGGTACTTAAATGACATTTCTGTTGTGAAGACTGATTTTTTTTCATTGGTTGCACATTTCGTAAATGCCAAAATTACATAAGAGGCTCACATAAGTCCAATGTCTAGTGTAAAATTTATGGTCCAAGTGCAAGCAATGATATGCGAATGGGTGGTTCAAAAAGATTCTGTAAAATATTTGTTTATGTTTTTCAGACAAGTTATTGTCCAATTCTAACATCTAAATCCTTCGAAAATAATCCCTAACGAGGTTAATCCCCACTGGTTCCACGTGAGATGGGTGTTGAGATTCACTCTGGCGGAAGCGTTTCAGGGCTGATCGGGACAGTTGTCGTTCATGTAGTTTTGCTGCTACCGACATTCAATGCGATCTGATCTTTCGTTACACCAACAAGTTGGCTGGTACTGGCATTTGAGGTGATCGGATTCAATAGGATCAAGGTTTGGGAGTTAGATCCCTGGGTTTGTGATGGGACTGAATACTTTTCACTCTTACCTTAGGCTTAGGTTAGACACTTTGTGTAAGAAATATCTATTTCTTCCCCATAGTCGGTGCCAAAATGTAGGTGTTAAAAACCACATTCGAAATTTGTATGTTTTGCAAGGAAGAAACTTAGAGAATTTAGGGCTAGATTTTCTCTTAAGTTGAATGAATCGTAAACAAATATTTCACGAAAAGTATTTGTATTAATTAAATGAAAAAGGTTAAAAGAAATCTCTGAAGAGAAAAAGAACTAATTTTTAGAAGAAAAGTACAAGTTGAATCTCAAAGAAAAAAAAAAGTAATTTATAAGTACAAATCATGTGAAATTCGGTCAGGAATCGGTCCTGATCCGAACTGACATCCTGCTTCCTGTTTTAGCTCCAAAAGTAGCAACGAATCTCCTCCGAGCATCTCACCACTTTCAGCTAACAATCTCGGTGATCTCGGACTTGATCGGATTTGAATATGATTCTCTTTGACTCGTTCTGCTTTGTCATGACGACATGGTCCTTGATCGAGTTATAACTCGTCTTAAGTCGACTAGAATAGCTCGAATGACATTTAATGGGTTTCAACGGAGATACTTGGTGGGCTCCATGTCTTCCTCGTGAGCTACGTATGTTTTGGCCTATAGTTCTGGATCGGAGTAATGGACCCTTGTAGGCTGGATTCCACGTGTGCAATCCGGCTCCAATAATAACATCAAAGTATTTTTTTTGTGTGCATAGTATTAATCTTATTTATTGTAGAGGATTGCCCAAAATGAAAAACTGGAATGTCTCTGTATTTTTTGAGATGATGTGAAAAAGTATTATTAAATTAATTTTTATATTATTTTTATTTTTATAGTCCATTTTTTTTCCATCTCTTATCAATTTTCTACAATTATTAGAAACAAAATAAAATGAAGTAGTAAATCTTTTGTTTCTGGTGAAACAGATCTTGGTACAAAAGGTACCAACATAAACTAGTAGAAACATTTATGTTAACCTTGTAAAATGAAAAACAAAATAAATTTGGTTTAATTTTGGGTACTAACTACTAACTAATAATTCCAGTAACTTCTAATAATTTTAGGATTGTATTTCTGAATTTTCATATCAATTTACTGTTATTTTTATTAATTATGTTGACCAAGACCATAGCATCTAAATATAATCCAGTTGACTAAATCACAACACTCAAATCTAATTAAATGTATTTCTCTTTTAGTTATATAATAAGATACTATATTTCTATAACATTTTTTTTTGACTTTTTGCAACATAATTTAGCAATTAAGTTTTTGTAGTTGACACTTTTGGTGAGTTCATAAAAAAAGAAATAATATGACTAGCAATAAATTCATTTTTTTTTTGGGCATGATGTTAGTAATAAATTGATAGTTGTTGACTCAAATTAGTTTATATATGACAGATAAATGTAAATGGAGAAATAACCTAAGATATAACAATGGTTTTATATCTAGTGTTTGTTCTATTTTCCTGTCTGCTTTTAAAGCAAGTGGTCGAAGGAAACATCAATGATGAAAGATTACATAATTTTAATTTTTTTCCATTTCTTAAACATCTGATATTTTTATTTTTGAACTAAATTTCTTTATGTTTTCTATTTTACAGGATTTTGATTGTGTTGATATATACAAACAACCAACTTTCCAACATCCATTATTGAAACACCACAAGATACAGGTATGGCAGTGACCTTGATCCCATCATATATGCAATAAATGTTGGAAACGATGTATACTGTTGAGAGAGCATATTCTAATAGTGTTTTTATTTTCTTAATCTCTTTTTTTTTTGTTACATTACAGGAAAACTTGAATTTGGATGAAAACCTTGATAGAGAAAACAAATATGAAACAAATTATCAAAGCTGTCCATAAGAAACAGTGCCAATTATACGAGAACGAAATGGAACTGAGAACTTTCATCTCGACACAGTCGACTATCCAAGCCAACATGTAATTTTTATTCCCATTTTTTTTTATTGAATTATCTGAATCATAATATATAAAAATTTATATAGTTTGCAGCATTAAAAATGAGTATACTGTATAGAGTCACTTTGCTGTCTTCTTACTAATATTTTGATTATAGACGAGCAAAATTTGTTAAAACGACTCGATTTTTATATTCATAATTTAAGATAAGCACAATATGTTAACACAACTCAATTTTTATATTCATATATGCAGTTTGCAACAATCGAGACTGTTTTGGATGGAAGCATCTACAGAGGAGCACAAGCTGAAATAAGTGTTCATAACGTAACTGTACAAAACAACCAATACAGTAAAAGTCAAATTTGGATAGAGAATGGACCTCCTGATCAACTCAATAGCATACAAGTTGGTTGGGCAGTAAGTTGTTATTATTATACTTATAAAGTCAAATGTGTAGTTCATATTATTATTATCTGTCAAGAAAAATATTACTACTAATATTTTCAAATCTAAGCATGTGTCATCATGTAATTTATAATTTTGTTTAGGTACATCCAAAATTATATGGTGATACTTTTACGCGAGTTACAATATAGTGGACAGTAAGTAAATTCATTATTTTGTTATTATATTTTTCACACATGATAAATCAATAAATCATTTTTGACTATAAATGTAAAGCCACAACATTGGGTTTGATAGTTTGTCTTTTGTTTAATTTTAATTGATCAGGCAGATGACTATAAAAAAACTGGATGTTATAATACTAAATGTCCTGACTTTGTTATTGTATCTCGATTTCCCACAGTTGGGCAATTGTTTCCAAAAAGCTCTATTTATGGTGAAAAAGTAATAACATATTTCCCACCACAGATTTATCAGGTAACTGGTGTTTGTATTCTACATGAAAAATAGTTTATTTGAAAAGAATGTTGAAAAAAATCATATATTTGTTTTGTGATATGGGCTACAATTATAAATAAATAAAAAACTGTTTTTAGACTTACGGAATACGAGGATTCAATCTTATTATAACATTTTCAGCTTGATTTTATTTTATGTTAATTTTTCTTATTGTTTGTGTTTATAAAGTTTATATATTTTTCTTTATGGTATTTTCCTGTGTTTACTTATTTTTTAGGATGGCTTCACCGGCAACTGGGCACTAAAAATACTGGGTGAAGTAGTTGGTTATTGACCGAAAGAATTATTCACACATTTAAACAAAGAAGCTTCTTTGATACGTTTTGGAGAAAATACATTTGCATCTCTAAATGGAGTTAGTCTTCCAATGGGAAATGGCCATTTTCCGGTAGAGGAATATTCAAAAAGTTCAAATTACCGACAAGTGAAAGTTAGGAATTCAGACTATCAATTTGTTGATATTGACAATAAGAAAATAAGACAATATTTGGATTCTTACCAGTGTTATAAACTTACATATTGGGGTTATGAAAAATTTAGTGGAGTAGCTTTTTCTTTCGGAGGACCAGGTGGAAACTGTGGTCTCTGATGAGTGATGTATTAAATATATGTACCGATCAAAACTATGTCAAATTTCAAAAAAAATAAAAGTTAACTAAACTATGTTCATCTTATGAATAAGGTAACTCTATTATTATTTTGTGAAAGTGATTTTGGAAATCTCTTATTTATATTATTATCTTCCAGCTGTTTTGTTAATGGGCGGAGGATACCAAACAGATTTATGTGGAAGCTGATAACTTGACGTCGCTGCTCGATGTTTTAGCAGAGAGACAAGCTGCGGTGGAGTTCTCAGTGACATGGCCGAACCAAAAGGAGCTTGCTTTGCTGCACGAGAAGCTTCCTTTGATGTCGTGTTACCATATAAGCCGTGTAACGTCTCGGCTATTCGTAGGGATCAGAAGAGGAGAGTTGTTGCTTCTTTCGAAAGACACTCGGCTTTTGCTGTTGACCACGTGGTTGCAATTGTTTGTCTTTGTAGGAAAAGTTCATTTGAATTGGATTATTACTCATAACTCATAAGTAAAGCATGTTTATAGAACTTGGTATATATCAACGGAAAATAATCTTATTAAAAATAAAATAAAAATCCTCTAAATGCAAGAACAATTCCTGGCTTTACATAATCTTAGGTTATAAATATAAATCTAAGCTTAAAAACCATCATTCATACATTTTTTTCGTCACAATTAATTAATTTCACAAAGTACCCATTCCATAAATATTTCAAGTAAATAGTATGATAACTATATAAAAATTATACAATTTAATTTAATTAAACCGTCTCATGAAAACTCCATTATCATCAATATTGTAAAACTTTTATCATTGCTTCACACTCTTTGTACGTTTTTGACTCACCCAACTTCATAAACATCTTTTGCAAATTCTTTGGCGTTTTACAGCTTTTGAAATATAAGATGTAAAATATTGATAAGATTCAAATGACAACTAAAATATAAGTAAAAAAAAACTTTGGAATAGTTACAACCCGCGCATCGAGGGGGCTTAGGCCTACTAAACTATAAATTCTTAAAACTCATAGTGTATGGTATTTTTGGAAAAAAAAAAGTATTTATTGTTGTTTTGGAAAAGCCAATAATTGTATTTTTGGAACAAAAACTTATTGTATGTCTTTTTTTTTTTTTTTTGTTCAAAGCTTATAGTATGTCAAACAAGTAATTCCAGGCCGGTTCCACTCTCGGAACTGGATGTGAATTAAATATTAAAAATGCAGATTCCGGCAGCGGTTGCGCCGCCTTCCTCCGTCGTCCACCACCAGTTATCTCTCTTCAGCTCCTCGGAAACCATAAAAGAAGCCAAGCAGCTACACTGTCTATCTCTCAAAACCGCAACTTTCAATCTCTCTTCCGTCTCTTCCCGCCTTCTCTCACTCTACACATCCTCACCAATCAACGACCTACTCTACGCTCGATCCGTTTTCGACACCATCCAAAGCCCTTCTCTTCCCTTATGGAACATGATGATCAAATGCTACGTCGAAAACCACCGCTCCCACGACGCAATCCGTTTATTCTCCGATCTCCTCAGCGAATTCTCGCCGGATAACTTCACATTACCCTGCGTCTTCAAGGGCTGTTCTCGTTTGTGCGCGGTTAAAGAAGGAGAACAAATCCATGGAGTTTCGATAAAGCTCGGTTTCGCGTTAGATAAGTTCGTCCAGAGCAGTTTAGTGAGCTTGTACAGCAAAAGCGGCTTGCTTGATCGTGCACGCAAAGTGTTCGATAAAATGAGTGATAGAGATTTAGTCACATGGAACTCTTTGATCGATGGCTACGCTCGTAGCGGAGATGTCGAAAACGCAGAGAAGATGTTCGACGAAATTCCCGAGAGAGATTCGTACTCTTGGACTTCGCTGCTTCACGGGTTTTCGAAATCTGGGAAACTCGAAGCTGCGAGAGACGTGTTCGAGAAGATGCCAACGAAGAACTTGGTTTCGTGGAACGCGATGATCAACGGTTACATGAGAGCAGGAGATTTCGAATCAGCTTGTGAACTGTTTAAGAACATGCCTGAGAGAAATCTGATTACTTGGAACTCTGTTATGGCAGGATTTGAGGTAAACGGTAGATTTGATGAAGCTTTGGGTATGTTTTTAAGAATGTTAAAGGAAGAAGATGGCTTCAAGCCTAACAATGCTACTTTCACAAGTTTAATCTCTGCGGTGGCTGCTTCTGCTATTTTGAGTAGAGCGAGATGGATTCATGGTTATATGGTCAAGAACGGGATTGGAACAGACGGTGTGATTGGGACTTTGCTGATAGAAATGTACTCAAAATGTGGAAGCATCGAGAGTGCGACGTCGGTTTTTGAATCAATACGTAGAAAGAAGTTAGGTCATTGGAACTCGGTTATCGTCGGGCTTGGGATGCACGGGAAGGCGGATGAAGCGTTGGAGCTGTTCAAGGAGATGGTAGAGAGCGGTGTAAAGCCTAACGCCGTGGCCTTTGTTGGGTTGTTGAACGCTTGTAGCCACGTTGGATATGTGGAGGAAGCTCGTTCTTACTTTGATTTGATGGTGAGAGAGTATGGAGTCGAGCGTGAAATCGAGCATTACGGCTGCTTAGTCGATGCCTTGTGCAGGACGGGACAGCTTCAAGAGGCGAAAACGATGATTGAGAAAATGCCGGTGAGGCCGAATAAAGTGATTTGGATGAGTCTGTTACGTGGAGCTAAGAAGTCTGTTGATGTAGAGATTGGTGAATACGCGGCTCATCGGCTTGTGGATTTGGCTCCGGAGAGTTATGTTCCTCTGTCGAATCTGTACGCAGCTGCAGGGAAATGGGAGAGAGTTTCGGAAGTGAGAGAGATGATGAAGAAGAAAGGGATCAAGAAAGAAGCAGGATGGAGTTTGATAGAGCGTGAAGGTGTGATTCACAGGTTTATTGTAGGAGACAGGTCGCATCGAGAGACAGAGGAGATATATGTGAAGATGAAGGAGATGAGAGAAAAGCTGAGAGAAGCAGGACACGTTGCGGATACTAGACAGGTTCTGTTGCGGATTGAGGAAGAGAAAGATAAAGAAGCTGAATTGGAGTTGCATAGTGAGAGATTGGCTATAGCTTACGGACTGATCAGCAGCAAGAGCAAGAACGGGAAGAGTCCGATAAGGGTTGTGAAGAATCTTACGGTGTGTAACGATTGCCATTCTGTGACTAAGTTGCTGTCGCGTATCTATCAACGAGACATCATTGTGAGAGACAACAGTAGATTCCATCATTTCAGAGACGGGTCTTGTTCTTGCAATGACTTCTGGTGATGAGGTTTTGGTTCTCACTTCTTTGTATCATACATAGTGTCATGTCATCTTCCAAAATAATCATCATTATTATATCAAAATAGCCGATTATTCAAAGTTGTACATTCACTGTGGATGTTCATTACACAAGGTCCAAGTTTTGGAAAGCCACACGAGTCTATTCGCCAACGGCCATGAACGGGATTCCCCTGCAAAGAACAAGCAAATGACACCATTGATTTCAGATTCAAGCACGTTGCGTTGTAGAAGCTATCAAGAGATTGAGGAAACTTACCAGCCGCCATGTCTTGAGAAGTAGTCGTTATCTAGAGAAATGGCGAGCGAAAGGGCAACGGCTCTTTCAGACAAAGTCAGTGGCCGTTTAACTTCAAGCTCTTCTATCTGCCATGGAAGTTGTATCAATCAATTGTCTATTGTCAAAGTAAATAGCAAAGCCAAAATGACGCAAGAGTCGAACAAACCACTGTAGCAGGGCCGCTTTTGGATGCAGCATCAGATTTTCCAAAACGGATCGCATACTGTCCAGCATCTGTTAATATCTGTACCACACACACATACAAGGAGCTATTTAAGTTATAGTTCTCAGTCTACAATCTGTCTTCTATTCAACAGTGGAAGTGCAAGCAAGAAGACAGAACCTCAAAGCCAAAACCCCTCCAATCACGGTCTATTTGAGCCAACACTTCTCCATCAGCACCCTTCACTGTAAATGTCCAATTCCAAAACCCTGGATTTTCCACAACTGCAAACTGCTTGTTCCTGTAAAACAGTAAAAAATGTTGACTCTTTGAACATCAAAGCTAACAAATATGTCCATGAGAAGACATTAGTTTACCCAAGATATAAGTCATAGATTCTTCTCCATAGATGCCATCGTCGGTGAACAACACCAATTTCCTAAACAAGTAGCAGACAAGAGAAATGAACATCTAACAAAAGGGATTTACTGTTTTGTGAGGCTTTTAAAGTGGTACCTTTCCATCAATCTCAACGTATATTGAACTTGTGACCCACCAGAAAGGTCTACGAACCTAAACGATACCACATGAATTACTTCAGGTCAAAAAAGTTGAACACTTTATCATCTTCTTGCCACAAAATTTTTTCATACAGCAGAATCAAAAGAAACCTCACCCGGAAAAGCTCATTACCCGAAGCATCAGTTATTGAAGCAACAAACGGGCGTCGAGTACGAAGAAGCTGCAAATATGAATTAACATGTAATGTTAAAGTTTCTATTGTGAAGACTTAAGCACATGTTTTGAAGCAAGCTTTATCATTGAGCAATTCCTACAAGCTTATCATGTTTACATTATACATATGCTCATAGTGATTAACATATTGTGATATTAGTTGAGATAAAAGTTAACTACAAGTTCAGAGTGAGAATGTAACCTGCCGGGCAAGAGCATTGCTTTGCTCCCGGATAGATCCCACAGGCTGTAAAGGAAGAGAGTAAAGAGAGGTTTAAAATACGGAAAAATTTGATACGAACTTAAGGGAATCAGTAGTGGAGGACTGATTATATGGTGTAGAGGCATCACTTACCGCCTGAGGATAGCAGACATCGACTACAGCGTAGCGATTCTCCTGCAGAAAGAAGAGCAGGTTACACGAGTGGTTCAGGCAATTACACGCAGGAGAAAGAAGATGAAACATATGCAAAGAAAAAGAAATATACCTGTTCAAAACCAAGAACTAGATTTGCCCATTCAATGTCCCTTGTAACAAGCAAATTAGACCGAGCCAGCAGATTTGCAATTTTGGCCTAAGAAGAAAGCAAAAAAAGAAAAACATTATGATTTCCAAACTCCAACATTTCAAGAAAAATCAAGAAGAAGAAGAGTACAGTGAGCTAAATTATCAAAACCCTCTAAAGAAATCAAACACCAGAACATAGCAATACATATATCTTCTGTTAAAAGGTCCCATTTACTTGGTTCAATCTATACAAGTGTTCACTCTTTATACCACAGCAATGTCACAAGAGATAAAGTATAATGAGTCACCTCATCAGAAGTTGTAGGCTTGAGAAGACCAGACATAGACTGGCTCACCGGTGGTTGCTGCTGCTGCTGCGATGTAGACTCATAATGGGTTTCATCAGACTGTGCTAAACAAGATTCAAGATCATTCCTATGCTTAAGAGAAGCTTTACGCTTTCGTCGCTTCTCCAAGGCTTTGAGCTTTTTAATATCTGAAACCCATAACCGAGCCATAAAATCTCGATCCAATCCAGGGAAAGTGTCGCCATTTCCATGGCTAAAGCATCGAAAAGCTTGAAATGAGACTTGTTCTCGTTCGAGAAGACAATTTCTCCATGAAATAGCAATTCCTGCTCGGGAATGCAACGCCTTGACCCCACCGTCCTGTGTAAACACGAAAAAAAAACAAAAAAAGGGTCAAGCTTTATCTGAGGAAAACACATTCGAGCCATAAAAGAGATTGTTTGTTCATCAATTTTCGGAATTTGAGGGTGAGTGAGTGAGTACCGGGTCAGAGAAAGGAGAGGAACAGGAGACAGCCGCTGCAGCATCGCCGCGGAGATGGGAACGAGATCGGAGAAGAGAAGAGACGGAGCGCTTAGAGAGGCAGAGCATGACTTCGGAAACCTTCCAGATACGTCGGGAAATTTATTTAACCGATCAATTTGCCCGGCGGCGTCGAGAAACTTATGCGATAAAAACGGTCGCTTTGTGTTCCCTGAAGTTTGCTTTTTTTTTCACTTGTAAATTTTGGCAAATGGCATAAATTCATTATTTAATTTAAACATAATATAATGATAATGATAATTTATGTTTTTGAAGAGATCAAAGACATAAAACCAGTGTTTTCAAGAAAAAAAAAAATCATCAGCCAATTAAACGATTTCAACAATATTAGAGATTGTGAATAATGGGTTAGATAATTGTAGATGAGATGTTTTATGGTTGTTAATTTGTATAAACTAGTTTCACATGAAAACACTACTCAAGACAATAGACACACATAATATGATAATATTAATGGACTACATTTAGTATTTCAATCCCATTGGTGTAAGCTAGCCATACGTTTTGGTCTTGTGGAAGCCTCAAAGGATCATAGCTACATAACAACCCCTTTGATCACATGACCAAAATTCTTTTGTTCATAATCCAAGTATTTGTTTTTAAATCTTTTTAATCATTGTATTCAAAATTACAATAACTTCGTAGATAATTACTATTTTTTCGATTGTTCAAGTTCTATGAAATATATCGCCAAAATATCAAAGATGACAAATGTGAAATGTATGAGACTATGAAATGACAAATGACAATAAGTTGGTAATGTGTTCCAAAATGTTAAATATCCTAATCGTTTTGCTCTCATGGGATTGCATCCCAATTCTGAAATTTTCCCAAATTCACCTAAAGGTTTTTTATATGAATTACAATATTCGGTCAAAGTTGATATAGTTAATTCTAAAAAGAGGTTGTCTATTAACATTATAAATTACTCAACTAAGAACCATCTTTTAACATCTCAAACCATCATACTTGCCTCTTGTCTTGTAAAGATGAAAATTTTCTTGACTTCGACAACTATTGCTCTGCTTTTCATATCATCAACGTTACCTCAAAATTCAGGTAAATCACTATTATAACACTTACTCGCATAGACGTAATCTCACATATATATATCTTCTTTTCACAACAGAAGCAGCAGAGAGACAATGGTGTATAGCCGATAAACAGTTTCCAGATAATGTGCTACAAGAAGCATTAGACTGGGTTTGTCAAAAAGGTAGAGCAGACTGTAATAAGATTCAGCCTGGCCAGCCTTGCTTCTTGCCCAACACATTAAAGGACCATGCCTCTTGTGCCTTCAATGATTTTTACCAGCGTAACAAGCATAGGGGTGTTGACTGTGACTTCCGCCCTGCTGCATTGGTCACCCAAACCGATCCTAGTAAGCAACTTTATCTAAACTCTTTTGCTTTTTTTTTTTCAGTTGTTCCAAGCTCTTTGATCGATCGAGATCTTGAACCACATGTGTCTGATTTTTTGTCATGATTTTGGTGATAGGTCATGGTTCTTGCATCTTTCCGTATATCCCCTAATTTAAAAGAAATGGCCAAGATGATGAATATAATGATTTTATTACTTCTCATGCACAATAAAAACGGCTCTAGTCTTTGTTGGGACTTAAAAGTTTCACGTTGTACTCTTTTGGCGCTTACTTTCACATGTAGTTCTTTTTATAAGATGTATGGTATTAATATTAGTGAGGGAGAGCTATGCTTTTCAAACTGATTCAGATACTGAAACATGTCGAGAAATGGATAAAATCTACAAATTTATGGAGAATTATGGCAAATATTGGTAGGGCAAGAGATTGGAGGGTGTATGGGAAAGTCCAAATTAGACTGACTTACAAAAGTAACCATGATGCACAATTAAAGTCTGAGTTACAAGACATCCAATCCAGCAAACGTTAAGCACAAAAGCTTTTCCCAACACTTATATTTTCAAGAGTTTAAATTGCAAAATCTGAGATCAATGCCGGCAATCGGAAAACAACAAATAACAACTGGTTCAGAAAAAGGCTTACAATCCCAACTAGTCTTGGGCATTTCGGGATTTGAGACCGGTATTGATGGGATTGGGACTGGAATGAGAAAATTGAGAAATTATATGTATTATTCGAAGTATTCCTTTATAATAAGGAGATGGAAAATAACGGAAATGGGAAGTGGGAGACTAAAAATTAATACCCAATTAGAGACCCAAAGTCTTATTAAAAACTAGGAAAATTAAAGAATTTTTGGGAAGTTTCGAAAAATTTCAGGAAAATTTGGAAAATCAGGGAAATACCATAAATTTAAGAAAAAAAATATAATTTTCATTTTTTTTAAACGGATAATTTGGGTATCCATTTCCATCTCGTACCTTCTCTTACATGTTTGAGTAAAATAAATGTTTCCAAACGGGTTTTGTGATTTTAATGTCCAAGTGATATGTCTATTCTCAAACGGTCAATAAGCCACCAAACTGAACAAAAAAAAACTGTCAAGAAGAAACAACTCCTCTAATTAGCAAAAGTAAAATATAGAAAATAAGAAAAACTTACAATATTGTGTTAGGGACAGAGTATTTCGAAACTGGACCTTAATAATTAAATTATGGATCCAAAAATCAAAGTAATGAATGTGGATCCAAATAATAAAAATGTTTAGAAGGCTATATCTGAATAATATTTATCTTAGTCTTAGATAAACTCAACTATAATAAGATATAATATAATTTTTTAAATTATTATAGCACATAAAATCTATACAAGAACAAGATGAAATAATAGATGGTGCCTATACAATACAAGAGGGAAATAAGTAGAAAATATGAGACGATTTTTATTAATGAATTGATAATATACTTTAAATGTCTATTTTATATTTTTAACTTTGATGATTAATAAATTATTATGAATCCAAATACATTAAATCCTAAATTTTATATATTTTAAATAATTTATTTTATTTAACTATTATTTAGATAATCCATAAGTATTTTTTTTAATTTATCTTATATATAATTAGGGAGTTGCTCTCTCCATTTAGAGTGTCCACATCAGCACAAAAACATTAAATTGTATTTAAAATATTTATTAAATATATGACTATTCATATTTCTTTACATTTATTCATATTTAATAAAAATATACAAATAAATTAATTAATTAATAGAAAGTATGTGATAATTTGATGTTAAAAGTTATCAAAAAGTTGGAATATAAAATAGAGATGGAGTAAAGAAATATTTAACTTCAAATAGTATATATTTACCTTTTTATTCAAAGGATTTATCCTATTTAAAAATGTTATAATGTGTTTACAAGTTAAAAAGTTGAATATAAATTAATTAAGATAATAGAAAGCTAATGAAAAATTAGAGTTAGAGTTTGTTTTTCTAAACAAATAGAAATGAGTTTTATATGTAAATTTAATTGTAGTGAAAAACAAGAATATGTTTACAAATTTTAACCTTCAGTCAAATGCATATACATATTTATAAATTTTAACCTTCAATCAAATATATATACATGTTTACAGTCTAATAGAAAAAAAAAAGTAAACAAACATAATATTTATAACATGATAAATTTTAGAAATAGAAAACTCGAGATAAAGCGGGTGTTAATATCCTAATAAATTAAAATAAAAAAAAATTATTCATATTTTTTAGTGTTAGTGGTTGAGTTAACTCAAAACATAACAAAAACATGAAAGTTAATACAAAACCATCATAATTCAAATCAACGAGTATAAATAAAATTAAACAGAAAAACTATCGCAAACAACCCCGCGCTTGCGCGGGGCTTCAAACCTAGTTTTGTTAATTCAACTAGAGAATTATTATTCTATTATACAAATAATTTTTAAGATATTTATTCCTCATTTATAAACATTAAGTCGTTACCATCTACACCCACAATGAAAAGAAAATAAGATTTAGTATTTTAATGTTTGAAAAATCAGTCTAAAATTAATTTGTCCATGTAAGTTTTTAAAAAAAAATCTTAAACTTGTTAGATATTACTAGATTTTTATATATACTTCAAATTCTTTGAAATATATTGCCAAAATATCAAAGATGGCAAATGTTAAATGTATGAGACTATGGAATGACAAATGATAATAAGTTGGTAGTGTGTTCATTAAGGTTAATTATCCTATTAGTTTTGATCTCATGGAATTGCATCCCAGTTAAGGAAATATAATTAGTTATTTATCCCAATATCAATTATTCACCTAGAGATTTTAATTTTCAACAGTTGATAAGAACTACACATCAATATTATTAACAATATCTTGTATATAGTTAATTCTAAACATACAGTAGATTGTCTATTAACACTATAAATAACTCAACTTAGCACCATCTTTAACCTCTCAAACCTTCATACTTGCTTCTTGTCTTGTAAAGATGAAAACTTTCTTGATTTCGGCTACTATTGCTCTGCTTTTCATATCATCAACGTTACCTCAAAATTCAGGTAACTAACTATTGTAACGCTCACTAGCATACACGCAATCTCACACATATATATCTTCTTTTCAAAACAGGAGCAGAGTTTGGACAATGGTGTGTAGCCGATAGACAGTTTCCAGATGGTGTGGTACAAGCAGCTTTAGACTGGGCTTGTCAAAATGGAGCAGACTGTAGTAAGATTCAGCCTGGCCAGCCTTGCTTCGTGCCCAACACTGTCATGGACCATGCCTCTTTTGTCTTCAATGATTTTTACCAGCGTAAAAAGCATAGTGGTGGTACATGTGACTTCCACAGCGCTGCAGTGGTCACCGAAACTGATCCTAGTAAGCAACTTTATCTAAACCTTTTTTCAGTTGTTCTAAGCTCTTTGATCGATCGAGATACTGACTCATATGTGTCTGATTATGTCATGATCTTTTAATGATAGGTCATGGTTCTTGCATCTTTCAGAATCTCCCCTAATTCCAAAGAAAGGGCCAAGATACTAAAGATAATGGTTTATTACTTCTGGTGTACAATAAAAATTAATGTAATTTGTTGGGACTATAATAGAGTGCTATATGCTTTTTAAACTGATTAAAAGTTTG